CAATCTGATCGCTCATATTTTAAATCTGATTGATTATATTTCATTCTGACCTGTTATATTCGAATTCCAATCGGTCATAAAGGGTTTTAATCGATTAAAAGAAGTTTGTATCGATTAAAATACTGTAAAAACACTTCTTAAAACATTCTAAGTGTTTTTAATTGTTTCTTTCAAAGCTATATCAGTTAATAAATTTGTTAGGAAAGTTCTTTGACAAAATGCTTTTGTTTTTGATTTGTTTAAAACTATTTTTGAGGCATTTTGCAAAATGAGTGAAGAAGCTTTATGCAGTGGAAAAGGTAAAGTGGTTTTACCTAAGCTTTCTGTTAAGACACACTAAGTCTTCAGCTCCATTCTTCTGAGTGACTTGTTTGACTGTTGCAGAGTTGACCTTTGACTTTATTTTTGACTTCATCAAATCACTGAGATCTTTGCTAGGATCACTTTCATGAGTATCCAAAACATAATACTACACTGCTTAACAAAAACGAACAGCGTACTCGAATGTGTCATACAAGATCAATATAATCCCCAACATCGTCGAAGATCGATAAGTTACACAGTTTGATTAAATCAATAGTGGTGTGATTGTGGGGAATTCTAAGCTCTTTGACTCCCTTATTCTTATGTTATGGTTGTCTGTTCTTCTTTTCATTTACAACTGACTACGTTTATCGATCCGATTTACAACTTACAAAGCATTCATAAGACGTATGCATTTCAATTTCATCGGTTCAAAATGAAGATTATTGGTCTACTTATACATGTCCAAATTTTTGTCATAATCCTAATATGCATCGAGACACATTAGGAAGACCTACAACTAATCAGATTCGAAATGAAATGGATGTACAAGTTGAAAATAACCAAAAAAGTGTTTCTTTTATTGAAATGAAACACATAATCATGCAAATTGTCCATTTTGACAATAAATTTATATATCTTTTAATAATATAATATTTTAATATAAATACAGTGAATTAAATTTACCCATTTCTAAATAATTTTATTTTCTATTAAATTAATAATTTAATTAAAAAGAATAATTTAATAAATAAATATTTAAAAAAAAAATCTTATTTAAAAAAAATTATGTCTAACTCGTGTTACGTAACATGTGTTTTTTTTTACTATAAAATTGTGTTTGAAAGTACGATTTTATGGAAATCACTAAAATCATGCTTGGAAACACGATTTCAGTCAAATTTATGCTTCCCAACACAATCTCAACCCTCCAAAATCGTTCTCCTTGCACGATTTAGCCTATTTTAATAAAATTTAAAATTTTCGACCCCACATAATAAAATCTAAATTTTTTTAACCCCTCTACTAAAAATACGCCTGAATTGTGATATAGTTAAAAGATTTTACCTTTATTTTAAAACTTATATCTAAAATAATTTTTTTAAAATATTTATGATGGTAAAAAAATTATAATGTGTTCGTATTAAGAGTGTACGAAATTAAACCTTTTGTAAAATTGGATTCTTTTAAGCTTCATTTAGTTTCTCTTCGTTATTACTTTATATTTTGTTTTAACTTGTGAAAAATGCTTGGGCAAGTTCATTTGGGCCTTTAGCTTAATACAAGGCCCAATAGCCTATAGTAGGGAAACTATAATCACCGTGCGGTGACACAGATCATGGGATGATGACATATATACTCCATTCATTGCAATGCGAAATACGAAACGAACGTTTCTTTCTGTATAAATTGTTTTCTTTTCAAATTTCTTAAACTATAATTTCAGAGTTTATATAAATTATTAAATTGATACAAAATTTTAATTGAGTAAACCTAAATTTAGTTTGAGTAAGTTGAAAAAATATATAGAACTAACAAGTTTTATTAGCTGTTTTTTTTTTCCTTCAAAATTAATTTCAACTTTTTGAGCAAAGTAAGTGTTCATCTCAACCATAAATGATGATTACAAAACTAATTTTAGCAATAGAGTACATAATTATTGATTAATTAAAAAATAAAATATAATTATAAAAAATTTGTGTACCATAAAATAAAATGAAAGTTAATATAAAATTATTTTATATTTAAGAAAGAGAACGTCTGATTTTATGCATATTATGATATTATTATTAAAATTAATTCTTATATTTCAGATATTATATAAAATTTAGTTTTATTTAAAAAAGATTATTTTAATAAGATAAAAAAAGATTTATATAAATTATTATAATATGTCCCAAAAATCACTATGTAATACTTTTTCTATCACTTTATATTTATTATTTCTTTCAACATATAACAATTTTCAACTAACTTATCTATTTTCCACCTACTTCGTTGTTCAAACAAACCATAATCTCCACTCTGTAAACCTTGGAGGTACCGAAACAGGACATGAAAAAATGTTGACATAATATCATCAGATTGTGCATTCAATGTTGACATCAAAATAAAATGGCAACTTCACAACTATGTGGTGTAATATAACAACCAAAGTTTGGCATCACCCATTTCATAAACCAACCCAAACTTTCTTCTCACTTTCCTTTCTTTGTTCTATCTTTGCACCAATCTCTTCTGAAACCAAAACTCCCCTTCACAAGTTTCAATTTTTTTCACATTCATCTCTTAAAGTTCACTACTTTACAATGGCCCAAAAGCATTTCTGTCATGGTGTTTGGTCAATGATTCTGGTGCAACCTTGGGTGAGAATGTATGTTAATTTCTCTTCTCTCTCTCTCTCTCTCTCTCGTATTCTCACTTAGATTGATTAGTTATAGGCACATTCCTGAGAAATATTCACTTTGCACACCACATAAATCATTCTACGAATGGATTACTGAAAGTACTTTGATAGCATTTCTAATCAAAACTTTCACTTTTAGTTCTTTAAATAGTATTATAAGTACATTGGTTAATGTTAAAAGAAATACAAAAAATACAGACACACCATAATAAAAAAACCATTAATTAAATAAATTACTTTTTCGGAATGAATGTAATCTAATTAACATTTATGTGTTTGCTTCACATTTTCATATATTGGAACTGATTTCTGGTTTAATGCATATTCTAAACCTGTTTAGAAAGACTTGTTATCCATCATCAATAAGACCAGAATATTACACTTATGTTTTGAGACTGCTTAAGATTGCAGAAAATCTTCTTATTTTTTAATTCTACACTAGCCCTTTCACATCATATACCCCCTTCAAAAGAGATTGTGATAAACATTAACAAACCAGAAAAGTTTGTGCAATATCACAAAACTTGAAATAGTGAATGCAATTTATTCAAATTATTTTGAAATGTTTGCTGAATATGACAGAAAAATGGGTGCATGTGAGTCCATATATATACCATTTTAAGCTTTAGAATAAGTACATATAAACCCAACAAATACAACACAGTGGCAGCATTTAGATGCAGAGCCACAAATTGAAGGTTGAAGGATAGGGTTTTTATCTGTTTGGTCCACCACATGGTTACCAACCAGTTTATCTGCTTCGTCACATATCAACCATAGGTTTACCAACGGAAAGAAAAAAGGCTCACAATGATAATATTCAATAGTTCTCAATTTTTATTCTTCTTGGATCTTCTTTCTCTTAATTAATGCTATAAAACTCTCAATTTTTCCATTCACCTCAAGCACTTTTATTTTTGTATTTTTTTTTCAATTTTGGCATTCGATTACAGAACATAATTAAAACGAGAGATAAACAGAAGGAAATGGTTTATTATTCAGTGTGTCTGATATATATATATATATATATATATATATATATATATATATATATATATATATATATATATATATATATATAGTAAGACCTACTAAAATGCGACTTTCAATAAATTTTTAGCCTATAAAAAGGGCATGTTCAAAATAATGTGATGGTATAATTTTCTTATACATGATTCAAAATTTTCTACTTTTACTTTTACTTGTTTTTCTTGTTTTTTTTTTTTTTTAAATTGATACAGTGTTTATAATTTCAATAACAATATAAAGTAGCTGTAATATTATATATCTGTAATCAACAGGAAAAAAATTTTGAGCAGCAGTTAGGCTAGTAAAGTAATCTGAACAAAACAAAACTTTTTTTCACATTTTTTATAAAAACTTTAAAAGAAGAAAATAAGATGATATTTCCAAAATTAGAAATGTAAATAGTTTATAAATAAAGAAGAAGAAGCATGTCCTTTTACTTAGTGAATTGTTGGATCACTCTGTGTCAGCCAAAAGCATTGGATTTGAAGTTTCATATACAGAGAAGGAAGGGGAAATATAGAATGATTCAACCTTTCACTAAGTGCAAGGATTGCACTGCAGTATATAAAACTGTGTATATTTGTCATAAATTGAAAGAATATTGATCCACTTGTAGCAGAAGCAGTGAATAGAAAAATGTAGTTACTGCAACTTGCGATTAAGCATGCAATGTTTGTCCCTTTCAAATGGGGTATATACACCTACACCTATACACCTTTCCCCTACGTGGCAACATGGCATTGCGTGCATGTCATGACAGAAAAATTGAAAGCAGACACAATGTACCCTACAGCCATAAACCTCTCAAATTAAGTCCCTTGGAATACCCACTACCACAATTTCTTTTTCATTTTATCTGAATATGCATGCCCTCATAAGAATTAACGTGAATCTCATAGATAATATCTACAAACAATGCTATGGTCCATATGTGATGACAATGTGCAGTTAAGCACCCCAGAAGTCAAGAAAACCAATTTTAATTAGTGCACCTAAAATTTATGGCCTTTTTTTGTGTTTGTGAAGGTGAATCAAATAGGGTGTGTGTGATCCAAAGTGACATAGGGTTATGGTCATTCTCTCATAGCTAATCTCCAACATTCAAACCTCATCTACAAGGATAGGAATGAAGCTCTCCTTTACTTGGCTTTCGCTTTCATTATCTACCAAAGGTCACATAAAATGGGGATACCCTATTGGACATGCCACACCATTGCTGCAAAGGGCTATATAGCATAAACTTTTGAGTCCTCATTGCATAATGTCGACCTCTTCCATAAACGGTTGGTGCCTCTCTTCAATCTCCCCAGCCAAAACCTCTCTTAAGAAGGTCACATCAGGACCTTCAGTCTTTGCAACCCTCACCACTCCTTCTTCTCCTTCCTCTTCCTCCTCTTTCCCTTCTCTCATTCAAGACAGGCCTGTCTTTGCTGCCCCTTCCCCCATCGTCACCCCCACTGTGGTATATATTTCCAAACACTACACTTTCATCTTTCATGCATTCAAGTTAATCATATTCTTTGTGTGACTTTTAAAGTAGTTATGGTAAAAGTCAATCAATTTACCATACATGCATGACAGTTTATAATTAGATTACACTTAAAAATTTACACTTTCTCGCTGCAGAAATAAATACTTTGTTGTTTTGTTTAGTATGTTTCTTGTGTAGTGTTTCAATTTCAAAGAGACTCAAAATTCTCATGAAACTTGCACTTTTGGGTCACAATGTGTGTTTAAGTGGTTATTCGTCAGAGTTTAACTTTTCTACCTAGTTAGTATAAAAAGAATTCACACATCAAGCAATCAAACATCATTAAAGTGAATCAACTTACAATACAAGACAATTTATGATGATGCAATGATAATGTAAAATTTTCATTGCATAGACTATTTACTGTTTTATTGTTTTTATTTTGTGTGCTTTACATTTTAAGGGACCCAAAATTCTCATAAGCAAGCAGATTTGGATCACAATGAATGTCTTTGAGTAGTCACTTGTCACATGTATTAATTTGGCCTAGCTAGGTCATCATGTGCTTAATAATCTAACACAGTCCACGTATATGGGGTTACTTGGAAAAAAAATGTTTAAGTGTGTTGTTTAAAGTTTAGTTTTCACGTGGAACACCGTTTGATCTTTCTTTGGCATCTACCACATTCACATTGGTAGCTTGGTTAGGTAACAGAGACAGGTGTGTGGCATGGATTTTTTTCATGCACTACTGATATGTGTCAGCATCCAGCACCATAAAATTATGAAATTATTTTATTAGGAAGAAAATTGACAGAGAAAATTAGAACTATATATAACGCGGGTGTGTTAGTTGGAGGATTCTAAGGCCAATAAAGTAGCAACTTCAAACTACTGTAGAAGAAAAAGTCCACTCAAAATTAAGCAGCTTTCCCAACCAAATTAGCAACTAATTAATCTTCTGACAGTGTTAAACCAATTTTCCACTTTTCTGAGGTTTGACACTATTTCTTCACATATATAATCAATTGAAAGTTCTTATTATTATTTCCCTTTTGGCCCCCACCCCCACAAATTTATCATAGTTATATATTAATTATGTTAAAACTTCTTGCCTAGGAAATTTACAGTTATAATTAGAAAATTGCTTATGGTTTCTCATTTCTTTTTTAAGATCACTTTTCAACTAATTTGTTTTTTCTCTCCTTCAACTGATTATTTATTTATTATTTGGAGAGAGAGGATATGGCAAAGGACTATGAGCAAGCTATTGAAGAACTCCAGAAATTGTTGAGGTAAGTCTCAAACACACAACACACTCAAAGATATTTTATATATATATATATATATATATATATATATATATATATATATATATATATTATAGTATGCAAAATTTCAAGTATATGTGTCTTCCTTGCAAATTGACTTGTGTTGAAATGTAGGGAGAAGAGTGAACTGAAGGCCACAGCAGCTGAAAAAGTGGAGCAGATAACAGCTTCACTGGGGACATCATCATCTGATGGCATCCCTTCATCAGAAGCCTCTGAGAGGATCAAGACTGGTTTCCTCTACTTCAAGAAGGAGAAATATGAGTTAGTCATCACCAACACCTTATTTTCATTACTTTTCTTTTATCTTAAGCTTTCTCTAATTCTTATGATTGTTGTTCTATTATCATTCCACAGCAAGAATCCAGCTTTGTATGGTGAACTTGCCAAAGGCCAGAGCCCCAAGGTAACTTCTTGTTCTTGTGATGAATTTTGAGTTTAATTTCTATGCACAAAATAAAAATAAATAACTGTCAACTCAGCATTTATCATAGTAGGTATTATATTTAAAGTCACCAACATATTATATATACTTTTTTCTATAATGTTATTATTTCAAAAAGTTTTCATATTTAAATATGATTAAAAGCAATTTAAGAAATTTATTTTTTTATAATTAAAATTAAAAAATGAAATGAATAATAAATTTTAAATAATATATATTTTTATTCAACCTAACATTCTTAATAAATGTAAAATTAAATATTTTTTATTACATTTAAATTCAGAAGTGACATGCTAATTTATGATTGAATAATAATAGTATAAAAGTATAGATATAAATGATTTAAAAAGTAGAACATTTCTTTTGGATTTCAAATGAAAGTTTAATTTAATAAAACTGATTTTGTCTTGTCTTATTTGTTTGTTTTTTCAGTTTATGGTGTTTGCTTGCTCAGACTCAAGAGTGTGCCCATCTCATGTGCTAGATTTCCAACCTGGAGAGGCCTTTGTGGTCAGAAATGTTGCTAACTTTGTCCCACCATATGACCAGGTATGTTTCCAACACAGAAAAAATAATTCCTATTGACATGTCTCAACACAATAGTACTCTACTCATTTGGTGATAAATCTTACTTTGTTTTACTCTACTGTGCATGCACCAGTCAAAATTCTCTGGATCTGGCGCAGCCATAGAGTATGCTGTTTTGCATCTCAAGGTATGTTACCAATCATTGGAAGATAAATGGCATGCACAGAACTTCAGGCATAGTGTACTCTCTGTGTTACTAGTATGAAAATTAATAATGTTGAGAAAATGTCAATAATTTTTAACCCATCTGATTTTTCTACAGGTTTCCAACATTGTGGTCATTGGACACAGTGCTTGTGGTGGCATTAAGGGGCTTTTATCTTTCCCATTTGATGGAACCTACTCTACGTAATTAACTTTTCTCTGCATAAAATTTACACTTTCTCAATCAATTATTTACCCTAGGTCATAAACATTTGATGCACAAATTTTACCTGCTAATGAGTTATTTTCTGAAGTTAAGTAAACATAGTTTCAGAACTTTATAATATGAAAGTTTATGTTTATCCTTTCTGTGTATATATATATATATACACACACACACACACAAAGATCTCGCATGACTGAATTAAAAAACTTACTTTATACTTTTGATTTGTTGTACGCAGTGATTTTATTGAGGAGTGGGTCAAAATTGGCTTACCTGCAAAGGCAAAAGTGAAGGCACAGCATGGGGATGCACCTTTTGCTGAGTTGTGCACACACTGTGAGAAGGTATGAGACATTAGTTCAAGCCACATGCTAGATAAATATTTTCTGATATTTTTCATCAAACTCATTGACTTAACTTGTACACATAATGTAAGGACAAAGCTTATATGTAGTTGCATAACTAGTTTTAGTACTGTTCTCTAATCAGAATTAAAGTTTACTTCATTTATCCATGTTAGCTTTTAATACATAAATCACTATTATGTAAAACTAATTCTGATTGAATATAGGAGTTACATGTAAGTTTTGTGCATAATTTAATGTTCAAGTGCAATGATTTAGAAGCAAATTAAAGACATGTAGGTGATGCTTACAAGTTAAATTGGAATGTATATGTGCAGGAAGCTGTGAATGTTTCCCTTGGAAACCTGCTAACCTACCCATTTGTGAGAGATGGCTTGGTGAACAAAACACTGGCACTGAAGGGAGGATACTATGACTTTGTTAAGGGATCTTTTGAGCTCTGGGGCCTTAACTTTGGCCTTGCATCCTCTTTCTCCGTATGAACATGAACCATTATCAATGACCTCATCTTGGTTCCCTAAGTATTCTCCTATCTAAAATGTACTCTGTAATTGCCCTTGTTATAACATGAATGTGCTGAGTTTTCTAATAAAAAGTACATTGAGATTCTCCGTTGATTACTCCTTCTTCCAAATTGAAGTTGTTCAAATAAGAAAAATGTACTTTCTATGGTCTTTCACCACTGCATTTTTCTTCTTTGTTAGGTTAAAGATGTGGCCACCATTCTGCATTGGAAGCTATAGGCCATGCTTAGAGGTCGTGTTTCTGCAATGAAGAGAGGCCTAGCCACCTTCACCATATGATATTTTATAAATATATATATATATGAAACTATGAACTGCTTTTATGCATGTCGGAAAATCTTCTTTTAATAAGAGTTGGAAATCTTCTTGTGACAAAATTTTCCTTGTTCAACCTTGATCTTTCTATATCCCCAAAATCATGAGAGATGAGAAATTAATCTTAGTTAATTAGATCTACTACTCTCTCCCTTCTAAAATGATTTCAGTTTGAAATCTTTTTAAAAACTTAAACTTTTAGCAACATTTAACAAGTTAAATAGTACAAAAAATTTAGGATGAATTATGCTTTGTAACAAGTATTTTGATGCAATTGACTAAAACTATAATTAAAAAAAATAATAATAAAAGTTGGTAGTTGACTGAAATGATGAGTGGTGAATAATATGGAGAGATTTATTTAAAATTACAGTCACTGCAACAACATGTCATTATAGATTTCACTCATTGGTTTGTAAATTTCATATGGAAACATTTTACCATTGTGGAGGATTTCATTTGTCAAACCAAATTTAGAAAGAATCCTTTCCTATTTAACCCTGAATAAATATTAAAGACAAGTTTATGAATATGATTATGATTAGTTTGAAAGCATTTTGATGTTTTTATTAAAAATACAATTGAAATCTCCAAAATTAATGTCTCCACAAGTATATGATGTATGTTACTTGAACTCTTGAAGCATGAATTTATGCATTTTAATGAGTATAAAATTGAGGTAAAACCATTAAACAGTTTCTCACCTTAGGATAAACTAACTCTATCAGAGTACATAGTAACAGTGACACTTTATATCAGCTTTGAACACCGTTGTAGTTTTGAATTACCTTTTTAATAATGGAGAACAAGAACAACTGCTTCTCAATGTTCCTGAGGTGGATTTTGTATGAATTGTGCAAGTATGCACACAATAAAGAAACTCTGGTCTTGTAACAAATAGATAAAACATCACAATGTTGGTTAAATGGTGTTTATTATCCAAAACATCTTTAAAGAGTTGTTGTTCCACCAATCTTCTAGATCAAGTTATTCTTCTTCATCTAAACGTTTAATATATCCATCTACAACTCCACATTTTTTATTTTTTCGTTGCTCCGAATGCAGTCTTAAAAGCACCAACACATTCATCATAATTTTTTCCCTTCAGGTAAACTTGTCTTAACACACTTGCAGAGTGGTCATTGCGAGTAATTTTTCAAAAGTCATCATTTTCACCATCTTTGTTGTTGTCTGTTAGATGGAAATTATATTTTATCAAACTAGGTCCAGTTTGGATATCATAATGAAAAGAAAAATGGCATAAAATTGTGTTATTTCATTAAGAAAAACAAATATATATACAAAAATGGATGCATACATATACACGTTTCTAAATATAACTACTACTATATATAATATTTTTTATTATCGAGTTTTTTTATAAAAATTTACTAAAAAATTGACATTAATAAGTTATGAGTCTAATTCAACTGAGAGATTGAGACCATTTTAAACTTAAAATTTTGGATTATAATTTTTTTTTATTATATATTTTTTAACTTTCTTATTCTTATTCCATCTTATTCAAAATTAGACTTAGATTTACTTAGATTTCTCAATATCTATAATATTAAAAAAAATACGAAATCTTACAACAAAAATCTTTCTCAACACAATTTGAGGTATTATAAATAATATAAATAATGAGATATTTATCTAATATATGAAGATATCTTCTTATAAGAAGTGAAAGATAAGAATAACCAGTAGTCTTCTTTATTCCCATTTTTGCCAAAATGTGATATAATTAATGGTTTATAGAAGTCTTCTTGTTCACACAGTAGAAATAAATGATTTTTTTATTTTTACTTTAAATCACAATGAACTGTTAGTGATGAAAGATAATTTAATTAATGCAGAAACAATATCATTAATGGTACTCTTGACTAAGTTATTGGGTGGTTCAAAATTATTGTAGGAAATATCTTACACTTGCAACATACTACAATTAATAGTTACAAGAACTCAAACCACTTATATTGTTGACTTCTCCAGAAACGGAACTTACAAATAGTTTTGAAAATTATTTTAGTACCTTAAATTCAGTTTTGTTAGACTAAATCATCATTAAATTCGAGAAAAAAATATTTTCTTTTTGAATTTGGAAAACTAAAATCATATAATAAGAATTTAAATAAATAAATAAAATGTTACATAAGATATTTTGATTTTTCATGGGTGCTTGCAAACATTGTGTAAAGTATGCCATATGGATCAAGGAGGCATTATCATTTACAGATATTGACATTTAAGCACCAAATTGTGGGATTTTACTAATAAAATCAAATATAGTTTGATGATATAGTAAGGTTTGGTTTCCCTCTTTGTTTATAATGTCTTGAGTTTTGGTTGTTTATGCCTCTCATGAGTTCTTTGTTTATAATTTCTTTTAAAAAAGAAAATGTTTACATAGTTATCACAATATCAACAATAACAATACGTTCTTCAATCATATCATAAAATAGAACAAATGTGATACAATGAGGATAACCCTTTGAATGAATTTGTATGAGGGCAAAATAGATTTGGCAAATTATATTAAGTTCAATAGTGAGGAAGTTAAAGGATGATGAGCTGAGTCACAGTAGATATGTACAGTTGGAGCTGTTTATGAAGCAAGCTACAACCAAAGAATACACATAAAACAGCCTCATTCATTCTGGCAATGGCATATGAAATGTATATATACATGCAGGATAGGATGAATGAGTTTCATATCATCATGATTCATCAGGCTTTGGCTCTAGAATTACAGGGATCTTCTCCTTGCGGTCACCTCTCAACACCTCCACAATCACCTGAATATCAACATCATTAACAATTAAACTAGTTACAATAAAACATTTCTACAGACAAACTTGTTAGTTATTATGATACACAAGTTACAATAAAAACCTGTACAACAGACAAAAGCAAATAAGATATTTGATTTGACTCTTTCCAAACTACCCAAATGAATAGGGGGAGGGAATAACACTCGATCAACCCAATTTTGAAAATGTTCTAACAACACGTTATTTTTTTTTTAAAAAAATTGCTTAGGAAATCTAGGATTTAATAATAGTTTTGAAAATAGTAAAGTTATACATTTTTAAAGAAACAATAGAGAAGTTGAATCAGCACCATACCTTTTCACCCACTTTACACTGGTCAAGAATTCTGTACAAATCACTTCCATTAGTGACCTTCTTATCATTCACAGATGTTATGATGTCACCTAAAATGAGTCTACCATATGAGTCACGTTTTGTTGATTGCAAGCCCTGAAAAGTAGCAATTACATAGGCTCCATTGAAATTTGTAATCAAGTAAATTAAGATGAAGCAATACAATATTAGTTTTGATAAGATGTGATTATTAAGCTTAGCACATGTTAGTGGTATTAACATTTTTAGTGTCTAACTTTAGCAGCGCCAAGTTTATGGTAACATAAAATCTATGCCACTATGTGATGTATCTAGCTAAAATTTCGTAATGAATTTCCGCTTTTATATAAAAATAATATAAGAACAAACTTACTGCTTTCCCAGCAGGACCATTGGCAGGAGCATCTAAGACAAGCACTCCACTTACACCCAATTGCTCCACAGACTGATCTGGAGCAAACTTAATCCCTAAAATAGGTCTTGTAACCTTCCCAAACTTCACCAATTGATCAACAATACCATTTACCTGAGTATATAGAACAAACAGGCACAATAGCAATTTTATTTAGAGGATATGAAAAATAAGTCTGTGTTTTCCATCAGAAGTTGTCCCTTGAAGAAAGTATTGGATATATAAATTTAAAACAGGTTAAAGTAAAGTAAGAACTCACGGTGTCCACTGGAATAGAAAATCCAACACCAGAGGATGCACCAGATGGAGAATATATGGCTGTATTTATCCCAATGAGGTTCCCAGAACTATCTAAGAGAGGCCCTCCACTGTTACCAGGATTAATTGCTGCATCTGTCTGTATAACATCTTGAATTGGACGACCAGTTGCAGCAGAACTAATTTCTCGCCTAAGTCCACTATTGATGAAGTATGTCTCAGTAAAACACAATCAACAACAAAGAAACATAAAAAGGAAAGACATAGTATCCATCTTTTAAGTTATCAAGTATCAGCAGCACAGCATATGTTTATGATGTGAAATTTAGAGAACAGCATTTACCTACGCAATACCATGCTTAAAAAGGTTGAGATTTTTAACCCAAAAATAAGGGAAAGAGAAGAGAAAATGTTGTATGATCTATGACACATCTTTATTGAGGAACGGGATTAATGGTACCCCATTAGAAGAAAAACTATGATTCTACACTAAGATTTTGCCCAGAAGTTTCTACATTACAAAAAGTCTCTTTCGTGCATGATCCCCCTCTTCTGCTGACCATTTAGGCCTAGTTTGAAAAAATTTCCCACAAGCACTTGTAGGAGAAGAAAAGAATAAAGTAAAACGAATCAAACCTTTCCATTAGTTAAAATCAACGTTATGTGCTTCAACTTTTTAGAAGCCCTCCTATCCAATCTCTTCACAATCGAGGTACATAAGTTGATTTTAAGTAATGAGATTGGATTGATTCATTTTACCTCTTTGTTTTCTTTTCTTACAATTGCTTGTTGAGATGTTTATACAGCCTTCTTCTGTCTCTTTCATTTAACCTAGTTCACGTCATTATTTATTTTACTTAATAAACAATTATATTAGCACGTAAACAACAGATGCAATCACATGTTTGGGTACAATAGTATCTTCCATTCATCTTCCCAGATGTTTCTAATTTGCAATACAATGAATGTCATCTTGAAAACTACCCCAGAAAGCGACATTGAGAACAAGAAGACACGAGGAAAGGAAAAGGAATAGCAAAGTAGAAACTGTTTTTGTATGTAATGGGAGTCACATCAAAATATTCACTACACAGTTTTCAGTTCTTATACCTGATGACACCAGTTGTGAGCGTGTGGTCTAGGCCAAACTGCAAGATAAGAACGAGAAATCACATGGGCATATTCAAGAAGCAATCCATCGTGTCAATCATCAACAATAAATAGCATTCAATCCATGAATAATTACAGCTCTATAAAGCACTTTGGCAGCAATTACTAGGTACAAACCATGAAAATTTACCAAATTAGTAAGTTTCTTTTATTAAAAAAAAAATCCGGTTTTCTATTGAACGCATCCTGCTTTAAGCAATTAAATTTATCATTTAAAATAAAAATATATCAAGAGAAAGCACCAATATTTATAGATAATCTAGAAAGGGAAGGGGCACAAATCTGCTTTACATCAGAAGCATTCATAACTCTGATCTCCAATGCATACTTTAACATAAACTTTTGCATATACATTTACGACAGGATCAGGCAATGAATATTAAATAATATTAAATAACTATATAATTATGCAAAATACATGTTAGATTAAATGAGACAACTGTTAAAAATATAATGTAGGTAGAATGAAATCCCCTTGATTGTAAAATTCTAGCTAAAGCTCCAATTAATGTTAGATTCAACCTTAATTGCCATCATTTCTTTAGAATGGAAAATACTTAGATAATGCGTATTTATAACACAATTTGCATTGATCGGTATGGACATCTCACCGGGTTCCCAATAGCATAAACCTTCTGACCAACAAGCAAGTCAGAAGAGACCCCAATAGGTATAGGCCTGAGCTTGTCTCTTGGTGCGTCAACACGCAGCACAGCAACATCCTTATCTTGGTCAAAACCAACAACTTTGGCGTCATAAGTTGACTGGTCAGCTAGAGTGACCCTGCACATAGCTAGCATCTCTTTGAATAGGAGTAATCACTTCACTGAAGTCATTCCAACACATACATCTATCAACCATCAAACTTTCTATTCAATGAATTCAATTCCCAATGCCAGGCAAAGTTGCAATGCAAACACACCCAGACATATTGAAGGAGATCCAAATGTGCAAAGTAACACACAATTATCACCTCCCTTTTGTTTGATGCAAGGTAACTTACACTCCCTCTGTCCCTAATTATAAGAGATTGATTTAAAATTTGTTTCTCCATTTTTATAAGACTGCTTTCCAATTATCCCCTGCACTAATTGTTTTTTTACCAAAATATCCTTTATTATCATAGTTCACAAACAAATAATAAATTCTATGAATCGTCTCTTTCTCTCATGAAGGTAGGAGAATTGGAGAGTGAAGTTTCAAAATTTAAAGCTTCACTGCCATTATCATCTCTCCATCCATTAATTGTTTAAGGGAAAATTTGAAAAAATTTACAATTACTGTCAACCTAAAGTTACTAACTACATTAACCAACTTTCTTGATATAAGTTAAGTGCAAATTAGTTAACATTGTTGTATATTTTGGGACGGTGGGAGTATAATCCATTCAGCAATACATGTCACATTGCACACAATATTAAAATATTTGGCTGCATAACTCAAAGGTTCAAAACCAGAGACATGTTAAAAATCTATACATTGCCATTACATAAAAAAAATAAACTTCACAAAAGAAAAAGAATACCAACTTGAGATCAGAGGCACCACGGATAACGTGATAATTGGTCACAATATGACCCTCTTTATCCCACACAAAGCCAGACCCGGATCCCTGGGGAACCTCCAACACGTCCAGCGTGAACGCATCCTGCCTAAACACGACACCCAACGATGAGAAACTCAAAGACAAAGCAAAAGGGTCAACGATAAACCATTCAAAATCAAATTCTGAAAAGAATCCATAAAAGGGGTGGTTACTTGACAGCAAGGTTGGTTATGTAGACAACAGAGGGAGTGTTCTCTTGGAAGAGGCGAACGGTGGCGAGTTCGTCGGACTGGAGCTTCCGCGGTGAGGTGACGACGAAGGCGGCTGCGGAGTCGGCGTTGGAGAGGAGGAGAGTGAAGGAGAGGGCGAGGGAAGTGCAGAGAAGGAGAAGGGGTTTGGGAATGGAAAGTTTGGGTAAAAGGGGTATTGTTAGTTTTGGTGACGAGGGGCGAAGGAGGAAGAGAGTGGGAGTGTGGAGATGAAGGGATTTGGAAAGGTGAATTTTGGTGGTGGGTTTGGTGTTTGAAGAACGAGAGAGCGAAGAAGAAGAAGAAGGAGAAGAGAAGAGTGTGGAAATGAGTGAAGAAGTAGTGGCCATGGTTTTTGGTTGGAGAGAGGAAAGGTGTCTGTTTATGCAAAATGGTTGGAGTTTGGGAAAAAAAAATTTTGTGGTTGTTGGATCGGTTGCATCTCTGTAGTTATTTATCTTGGACAAAATAATAAGTTTGATTATTCCTTATGTTAGATGATTTATTATTTTTCAAATTAAGTGTGTATCTTTTTTTTTTAATTTGACTTTTTCTTATTTATCGATTAAGAAAAAACGATATGTGAAGAGTGAATTGAACTTTCGGATTGAAACAATGTTTATTATAAGCTTAGTTATTTAATTAAATATAAAATATTTTGGATCAATTATAAAATTTGTTTTAAGAAAGTAAACGAGTTTTAAAAATTAAGATTAATTTTGAAATGAGTTATTCTGGTTGAGGGATGGCAAAACGGGGCGGGTCGCCATAATATGACGAGGTGGATTGGTGTTTTCAACTCATTACCGCTTTCGCTACTCTGCAAGTCCGCTAACCCGTGGGATCGGAGTGAGTCGACCTACGACTCGACTAATTAATAAAAAAATAATTTTTTATTGTAATAAAATTAATTATAAAGATAATATATAAAGTTAAAAATTTTAAAAAGAGAATTAAAAAAGTTTCATTCTCACAAAAAATATTCCCCTTCTTGAAACATAACATCGTCTCGTGTTCTCCTTGTTTATCCTAAACACTGATTATTTTTATCCTTATTACTTGAATTAAAGGTGTAAAAATTAATCAACCAAAAATAATATGAAGTTTTATCAAATAAAAAAGAAATAGGTATTTTAATTTTTCAATATAAAAAATATAAATTTTATAAGTTTAACGTTATTTATATATATATATATATTTGTTATTATTTATTATTAAGTAAATTTTATTATTGTTCTAAATTATAATTTCTTAAAATAATGTATTGATTTATATTATTAAATTGAAATAATATATATATATATATATATATATTGAATTATCGATAAACAAATAATAATCTTATTATTAAATTTATTAAAAAAATTTATTTAAAATAATTTATTTTTTTAAAATTATATGACTATATCGAATTAACCCGCTCCAAATTCTGATCCCTATTCTGGTCTCATATTTTGTGAGTGTTACGTGGATCTTGTGTTTATTATATAAAATAAAAGCATGCACGAAATTTGCCTTCTCGTACAAAAACACAACAATTAAATTTAAAACAATTAAATAGTTTTACAAAAGTTTAATATCATTTTAACAGTTATTACTGCATTTGTTAAAATAGAGTACACTGACTAGTTAATTAAAAATTAATCTAATATCTAGTCGAAATCTTTTAAAAAATGCTAAAATTCAATTGAATCGAGATAAAATTATGAATAAGAAAAAGGACAACCAATTTTTTCTTCCCTTTTCAACCAAAACAGTTAAATACATAAAACCAAAAACTTTAAAATTGGATTCATCATTAAGCTGCTAAGACACTGATTCAAAACTTAATAAATTATTTTTGGGAAAAAAATATATAGTTGTGATATATTAATTTCTATTTTGAACTGTGTTTTTTTTTTTATACCAAATTGCACTAACGACATGGTACATGACTAATTTTACATCTGAACTGAATTGGACAGAGAAGTGATTCCCGACTGGATCTGGTTCTTAGAACTATGCTTAAAACCTACATCCTATGGCATTTATGTGGTCTTTCATCCCCCTTTTTTCTTCTCAGATAAGATCCGTTATCCGTTTATATTTAGATTTTCTTTTGACAAAAATTAGTTTCTGAAAACTAGTTTCAAAAACGTATTTTTGAGAAATTGTAACCTACCATTGGTAATTACCTTATAGAAATTAGTTTCCTTAATATAATTATGTCTCACTACATTTTAGAAAATATTCTTTGAAATTCTCAGCCAACAATCTATTTAATCATGGAAAGGTTAATTCGGAATGTAAGACTTCCGTCCTAGACTAACCTTTCCATAACAAAAGGTTTGGATTGAGATTTTTGGGATGCATGCATATGAAGAAGAGGCCCAAAATAGAATAGAAGCAAGATGTATAATAAAAAGTGTAGCATATGGTATAAATTTTTGTAATTAATGATTGGTTACAATGTCCTACACTATATTCTTGTGAAAGCAATTTCATTGTCCACTCTTAAAATAGAATAGTGTCATCAGCCGCAAGAGGAAAGAAAATAAAGCTAACCAAAGAAATTACAATATTTTATCAAGGGGTCGTAATTCTCTGGGTAAGCCATCAAAATGTCCAGCGTCTATGTCAGATTGCAGCATAGGTCGCTTTCCTGTGTCCCAGACAATGCCCTCTGCTAAGTGCTCCTTGCTTGGCGTGAGCATCACAAAATTGGGATCAGCTCTTTGATAACTGCAAACAAGCAAAATAAGTAAACATGCAAATTTACCAGTGTAAGATACAAATTTGAGTACGTTGATTTTATTCTACAAGCTTCAAATAAAAAGAAAGGTAAAACTCAGAGGCACAATCATATTTTAACATGCAGCAGCGGCAGCATGGGTAGGGTACCATTCATGTAAGGCATATAATTTATTGAATTAAAACATAACCAACCTGGCTTCTCTGAGACTCTCACTTTGGATGCCAAATCCGTATTGTATTTTGCCATCAGCACGATCTCTAGTGGCTACAGAATAACAGGACATTCTCAGCACTTCAAACATCCAATACAATGATTCTTGATCATAATTTCTTTAGAATCAAACCCCAACCATCTCTCCAAGAAAAAAAATAAAATAAAGGAAAAAAAAAGGCCGAAAGAAACACCATTCCTGGACTACAACACTAATTATAATCTTGACATACCATTTACAGCTAAATGTACTTAAATCTTGTAAGTACAACATATAATCAGATTTTACTAGATGAAACTTTTTGCAGGATGAGAAATCGAGAACTGTTCAACATCTTCGATTATAGAACATTCTTCCATGTCTACCGCCATTCACAGAAGTTGCTTAACTATTAATGAGGTAGCAGATACCTAGAAAATGATATTACAGAGGTGGTACTCTCTACTCCTAGAAAATAAGACATCACATCAAATAATTTTGCAGGGAAAGATGCCATCTAAGGAACTTGCTACATAACCTTGGGCAGGGGAAGAAGTAGGGCTAGAACTTTTGGTGACCAAAACAAAAGACAGAATCAGCATATAAAACTTAAGTACTATGTTATATAGCTGTTGACCCTTGATCATTATCATGACCACACCGGTAATACACACATGCAAAACAAGTCCCAGTCGGACTAAAGAAAGGAACAGAGATAAAGAAATATCGATACTCCAGAGGCACACCTGAAATGCTGCAAGTGAAAGAAGGTTTCCACCATGATTTGAATGCAACTGCCATTGATGAGCTACGAGGTCCAACCTTAGCCTGAAAAGATGAGAAACAATCTACTTAGGTTCATCATATACAATCTATATAAATCTGCATAACATTGCATCGATTTTCTACCTTCAGCAAGAAGTTTTTATTAGCCTGCCAGGATGCACCTATTTGAAAAGTGGAGTCTGAGATATTTTTTGCTGCTATGGCGTCATCAACACTGATACAGAAAAATAGATTGTACCATATTGGTCCAACTGCAATAAGTTTGAGTATATCTGTTTAAAGCTAAAAACTATACCTTGCTAGTAACTCAAACCCAAAATCAATGTAGTTTGTAATTCCAACAACGGAATTCTCTTCAAGGGGGTTCTTCACCTGTTCAAGTCAAGTTTATGACTTTCAGTACAATATATTCTGATTCAACAAGAATTATATCTTCCAGTTCACTAAAACTCAAAAAAGAAATCTCAACAATGAGGGTAGATTTTAACAAGAAAAATAAGCAATAATGGAATGCTATCAGCATTATGGTATCTAAATCACAAGGACAATGCATCCAAAATATAACTCACAAAATAAGCCCAATGTTAACAACAGTTCAGTCTTGCAAACTAGTAACAAAAAAGGGAAAATCATATACATGTACGGCATTAAGAAAAATCAGATACATGTATAGCTTTCTTAGAAAATCAAAGAAAACCCACTAGTAAGAAATTTAGTTTTTAGAGACCCACTAATTTAGTTTTAAGAGACCCGACTAACCTCAAATAAATCTTGACGTCATTGCGTTTGCAAAAATAAAAATGAGATACTAATATGATGACAAAGGAGTAAGGAGAAGACAACAGAAAGAAAGAGAGCGAAGATAGATCATACCCGTCTCTGAACAACCATGTGTTGATAGAATGAGGCGATAAACTGCAGATTATTTAGACTTTCAAATTTCAGTAAAAAGCTTCTCAAAATATTAATCAGAACTACACAAATCATAGTTTAGGGCAGACAAATGGCAAGATGCATATAAGATCAGCAGTTTAGTACAAAATTTAAAATTGATACTAAATTACTAATGAGTATTGAAATTTTTAAACAACATCAATTTCTTATAATTCACAAGACTTTCCATTTTAAAAACTATCACATTATTATATTACGGCTAATGAATTATCAAAAGAATTGATTAAATGCAAAATTTAACCAATTTATGTATGGACATACCTGAGAGCTTTTGACAAGCTCAAGGTTGAAATTGAAAGATGGACACAGTGGACTGCCCGATCCAACACCATAGCCCATGGCACAGCTCCAGTTCATTAAATTTGAAAGTTTGGCATTTCCGTCTAAAATAGCACACAAGTTAGAATGCACACACTGGTTGCATTATCATATTCGAATTAATACTAGTTAGATAATGTTTTTAGAGATTAGGATTTTGTGATTCTTTGGGTTCATCGTAAAATCCAAATTACTAAAAATAAAAACTAATAAAGCATTAATTCATGTTCTCCAATCCTTTTATAAATGCAGGAAAGAAAAATGAGAAGCAGATGTTCCTTACTGAATGCCTAACAATAGGTGAAAGAGATCCTTAGCAGGTTTTTCCTTTCATATAGATGTCTAATTTTTTAGTGAATTCTTCAATTTTTATTCTCCATATTTATCTAATGGATCCCCTTTAACTAACAGTTCTAAATGTCTCTAACCGTCCTTGCTTTACCACAGTTAACTCTCTGCTCTTAGATTTTTTTTCACTGTCTATTGCTCCACCTTTCATTTAATTGTAGCTTTACATGCATGTGCAAATACACACATACAGTTGGAGGTAAACACATGAGTCACAGGTATGGTGTAGGATCCATTCTAAAATCTTAAAATATAATGAGAACACTCATTAATAAATGAACATACTGACTACAAGATTGATGCAATAATGTCAACTTTCTGGTGAATGCAAGATATTACTTTTTCCCTGTGGCCTATCATTTACTTACAAAATCCAAAAGCAAACATACTTAGGCTAATATATTTAATGAAATTCAAGTTCAAAACAGCATATGACAATAACAGCAGAAAGGCAAGAGAAACCAAAAAATATAAAGATTAATTTAAAAATGAAGTACTGATGTAGTAATTTTAATAAGAAAAAAATCCACACGTAAATAAATAAAATATGTGTAGTTCTTACGTTGAGGTTCATACTGCACCCCAGCAGTCAACCTTCCCATCTTGCTTACCAGCCATGCACGTTTTGGTAATTCATCTTTCACTGCAATGTATGGCAATTACACACCAAAGTTTATTTTTATTGTTTCTCCAACGTGATCATTAATCAATATTTACAAATATCTATAAGAAAATGAAAAATTTAGTGATCATGGACAAAACAATTAAAATTTCAAATTTCAAACGCCAGATAGAAAGGCACCAATTATGTATAAATCTCCTGTATTTCTAACAAGGAGAAATTTTTAGCAAGAATATTTTATACATATAAATAAGGAAAATGCTAACCAGTCTAACTAGTTAAGGATATCAAAAGTGGAAAGCTTTCATTGCCGTGATTTCCGATAAAAACTGTCTTATTGATTCCTTGATTAGTGTATTTTTAGAGCACTGGTTAACAAGATCCTAAGTAAAAAATCTTTGATCAGCTTTTGAAAAAAGAAGGAAAAAAGAGAAGCAATTTTATTCAAAACTTATTCGTACACACCCTAAATATGCTCATTTGCAAATAACCAGGGAACTTACTGGCAAAAGGCATAAGTGTGACTCCAAAAGATACATTTCCAGAACCATATCTCAACCCCATCTGACCATAATCTAGGGAGCTTTCTCTGTAGAATTGATTAACCTTGTCAACACTGTATTTTGCAATCCATGTGCATGCTACAATAAGAACCTAAGTACCTAACACATGTTTCTGCCACCATCATCAAACAAAACACACCTTTTCTTCAACAGTAAAGGGAACACTCCAAAAGCCCCAAATCCATATTTGGGATAGTAAGCACACGATCTCATCTGCAAGATCCTGAATATACAGACCACACACAATATTCAATTCCAAAAAGATGCATTGTGTATATTTGGATCAAGGATGCCAGGGAAGGAGATGGAAATGTAAATTTATTTAGATGAAAAAACTAAGAGAGCTATACAGAACAAGGAATGCTACTAAAACTTTCAATACATGCTCTATTACAAGGTAGATTTAATGTTAGCCCCACCAAAAAACCTTGCTTCACACCCTATTTATTGGGACCCACATTTTATTCACCTAAGAATAAGAATGCTCAAAAGAATACATAACTAACATTTCTACATATAGTATTCATATTCATAAAAATGAATAAGGAATTATTGGAAGATTTCATTATAGGATAAAACCTAGTTGTATTTCTTTAAACGAATTTAATATTATTCTCCAATGACAATTAAAGTTTCACCTCAGTACCCAATGCTGACTTTAAGTGTCGACCTTCATTGTACTTATAGTTACAGAGATGAATCCTCAACTCTGATTGGAAAGGAATGCCAAAAATCAATTAACCAACTAAAACTGAGTATTGTCCTCCATTATACTATATTTTTCTTATTCCTTTTAATCTTAAAAACTCAGTCTCATGATTGAAGTGAAAATAATACACGTTTTTCTTCCATTTCCCAAATATACCCTCAGGACCCATTACCGTTCCCAAACATTCCCTCAGGATTCATTCAAGTTAGAGTTACTTACGGATCAGATGTGGATACATAAAGGTCCATAAACGTATGAGGATCGTTAACATCACTGCACACGCAAAAAAAAAAAAAAAAAAGACAAAAACAACTCAAATTATTCAACAAACTGCAAAACAGGAACAAAGAAAACAAAAACAACCCAAATAAATAAATGTATAAAAAATGGTTCAGAAATGCAATTTCAGCCATAACATCAAGGTTTCTAAAGTGTCATCAATGTAAGTCTTGTAACGTAGATTTCAATTCTACAAAAATCAGCTTGTAAAATAAGGATTACTCCTTTACTTATATACTTTACTTTGACCATATAACTAATCAAAACGTGATCTACACCACACCCATTTATGTCAAGCCTGAAAATCTTAACCTTGAAGTTTGGAGTTTAACATTCTATCGCTCCTACGCTTATTTATGTCAAGGACTGAAACATCCTGAACTTGAAGTTTGGTTAACATACTATTGGTCCTACTCTTGATATGTCTGGTCTTTGACACATGAATGGATACGGTGGAGATCTCATATCTAGTTGTATGATTAAAATAGAATTTATAAATGGAGATAATTTTCACTTTATAACGATTTTGTAAGATTATATTAGCCTTATATCTAAATTCTAAAAGTAATTATGGTGACATTAGTTGCATTTATCCACAATATTAAGGAATGCAACAAAACTATGACTGCAACCATAATTTAAAACCTAACAAAAACAAGAGAAGAAAACCTTTGCCAGCGAAACAACGCATCTCCCGTAACGTTCTCGTTGGGCTTACGATCGAGAGGACCTGAAACCTAAACATATCACAGCAATAATTAATAAACACGTGCTTTTTTTCAGTTTCCGTATAGCGCAAGTTTCTGAATCTGAAGAGAGGTAAGAAAGGGGTGAAGATACAGTAGCGATGAGATCGACGTGAGGATCGTCGATTGGCTTGAGCATGATTCGCGTGGTGAAGTGCCTGGCCAGGTGGAAGTAGTCTTGGAAGAGCGAAGCGAGGGCGATCTTGCCAAAAACGACATCGTAGGTGGAGTGGAGCATGCGGTTGCGCGCCGCGAGGGGAGGGAAGTCAAAGAGCGGTGGGACCAGCACCACCGGAGGCGGTGGCGCGGGTTCTCTCGAGAACAACCAATTCCACATCGTTGCTCAAGGATTTCGATCTGAGAAGTGAAGGAATGGGTGTAATTGAGTGAAAGAAACGCAACAATGAGAAGAACGAGAAGTAGGTTCTACAAAGGGTGTCGTAGGGAATCGGTGCTCGCGCGCCATTCTCGCACCACCGTGACTCCACTGACCCTGACGGTTTCAACTTCGAATGCGTGTTACCAAATTACCCTTGCGTTTTTTTTTTTTTTTTTCTTGGGCTGCTTGGTTGAGAAATGGCCCATTTAACCCTGACCAATTTAAGTCAAGTAGGAATACTTTAAAAAACGTGTCCCCTATCCATTTAATAATTTTTTAAAATTTTAAATAAGATTAGATAAATGATTCTTTAAAATATAAAATAAAATGATTTTATCTTAAAATATAGTCAAAAAATAAAATTTTATCATACAATATTAATTTAATTTTTTTTTAAATATAAACTCAAATACAAAAATTGTTTTTTTATTAAATTAATTATAAAGCACAATAAAATAAAATAAAATAACATAAAATGTGCGTAAGTATTACAAAATTAACATTTTGGAAATTAGTTGTTGAAAGTGTTAAAATTTCAACACTTTCTTACAAATTTCTAATAATATCAATAAAATATACACATTCCTATTCATTTATCTTTGAAAATGTATAAAACAAAATTATAAATTATATACTTTTTAAATTAAATATCTTAAATACATATAATATTATACCATACCATCAAATATTTTACAAATTCTCCTAATTTATTAAAAAAATTAACTTAACAATCTTTTATAAATCCTCCTAATTAAATCAAAATATTAAATAATTATAAATTACTCATATTTTTAAGATATATAGTATATATAAATCTGTATATCATAATTTTGTCTGTAATATTTATAATTAATTAATAAAAATCACAATCTAATCAACAATTTGAATTTTATCTATAATATCAAAATATATTAATAACATAAAAATTATATATTAAAAACTATATTTTACCTAAACATGTTGATTTGTTTTTAATTATAGGTTAATACAGTCAAACTTATATCAGTTAAATACATAATATCCTATTAAAGAATGATAGCATTTTTTTCAAAGATAAATACTAGCTCATTTTTATTAGAGGTAATTGTGCTTAAATGAAGTAAAACTATTATAAGTGATAAAAGAATTTCTATTATACTTAAGTACTAATAAAGTTAAATAGTGTTTAATAAGAAAAAGTATTAAAATGATGTAATTTTTTTAAAAACATTACTAATTTAAAAATTTAAAAAAAATTACGCAAATGAATATATCATATTTAATAAAATAATTATATAAAAAAAAGTCTTCTTATCAAATACGATTTTTTTTTTAATATTTTTAACTATTTTGTCTTTGAGTAAAATCGTGCTATTTAGACTTCACCTATATATATATATATATATATATATATATATATATATAATAATAATTATTTATATTTATTTATTATTATTAATTTTAAATTTATTATAAAAATAAAGTAATTAATAATAAAATATTAATAAATAAAATAATGACTATTTATTATAAATATTATTATTATTATAATTAAATAATAATAATTATCATTATAATAAATAATAAGTATAATACTAATAAATATTAATTATTTTATTTATATTTTTATCTTTAATATTTTTTTATTATTAATATAATTATTAATTTTTATTTATTATTAAAATTATCTTAGTTATTTTTAATGACAAATTTTATAATAAAAATTACATTAAAAAGTACAAAATCATTAAAAAAGTATTATTATTAACTAATTAAAGATTAAAAAAACGAAATTATTAACTAAAAAATTTCATTAATACTTATTATTATTATTATTATATTTATTACTTTAAAATTTAATAAAATTATGATTAATAATAATTGTAATTATTTTTTAATAATGTAAAAATAATTTGTTTATTTTTAATGTAATTATTATTATAAAATTTATTATTAATAAAATAATTATGATAAATTTTAAAAAAATTATTAATGATATTAAAAAGAAATAAAAATATGAAAGATAAAAATATTATAAAAAAAATAATTAATACTTATTATTATTAAATTTATTATTATATTTATTACTTATTAACTATATAATTACAATTATTATTTTTATATTATAATTATCACTGTTTATAATTTATTAAATTATAAATAATAAATATGAATGAAAATTTTTAGTTAATAATTTCTTTTATTGTTTAATGTTAATTTTTAGTTAATAATACTAGTAAGAATTTAATACATTTTTAATTTTTTTTAATGTAATTATTATAATAAAATTAATTATTATCATGAGATAATTATGATAACTTTAATAATAAATAATAAATCTTATAATTATATTATTAATAAAAATAAAATATTATAAATAAAATAATTAATATTTATTATTAATATTATATTATTATTATATTATTATTATTATTTATAATAAAAAATAAATATTACTTATTTTTTATTAGTATTTTATTATTAATTATTTGAATTATTTATAATAAATTTAATATTAATAATAATAAATAATTATATATATATATATATAATTAAAGTGGTGTTACATGTTTTGACTAAAACACAAAAATAAAAAATATTAAAAATGTTAAAAAAATTAATCATGTTTGATAAGAAGAATTATTCTTACCTATATAATTTTTAAAAAAATTATCCAAATAGATAATTTCTTTTTAAAATTACTCCATTTTAAAGCTTTTCGTATTCAAGATGATTCAAATGTTTTGTGGTTAAGAGCAGTAGATATGCTATTTATTTCAGTCACTTTGAAAGTCATGATCTTGTGTCTTTCCATTTGTCAAAAGTTGAACAATTAAATCAAAGTTTGGATCACAAGTTTTAAATGACAAATAGTTTAGGAATTTTACCAATAATAGTAATCAATGATGAAGTTGATTCTTAGTGAAAGACCACAAAATAAGATAGAAAAATAGGCCAAATACTTATTTTAGCACAATTTTACCAAATTTGTAAGAGTTGTGAAAGAACATTGATAAAAAAAATACTCATACATGTGTTACTGGTAGGAGTGGTGATGGGTGAGGTTCCAAGAAATGGTGGAGAAGTTGGCATGTTCCATTTGTGTTCTTCAGATTCTTTTTCTCTTCTTTCTTTTTTTTAGTGTACCATATTTCACCATCCAAACCAATTTGCTTTTAGTGCTCACTTTTTATCAAAAGCCAACCAAATAATATTGAATTTTTTTGCATATAATTTTATTTGAATAAAAAATATATTATCTAATTATTTTTTTTAAATAAAACTTTCTGTTTTAAAATTTCACTTGTGATTTTCACCATGCTAAGTCTGGTCAAATTAGATCTAATCACTTGAGTATCATCAAATTTGCATTTATTTGATCGGAAAACTTTTCAATTAAATTTACATATATAATTAAGGGCATGAATGGAATCGATAGATTATGGAAAAAAATTAAAAGAAATAAAAAGGACCCGATTATTCCATACAAGCTCAGGTTCTAGAAGTATTCTGGGTTTGTTTTTGTACGTTTATTATTCAGTTTCTGAGAAGCATTGCGATCTAGATTGTATTTTCTTCTGATACTGGCGACAACAAGCTACACACTGCTATGCTGTGTCTCTACGTTAACCATTTCCACGTCCAATAAATTTCACTACCATCACAAAACGTAAACATTAGCTGCTGTGGATTTGACCCTTTGTCTTCTTGTTAAATAAACAAATTATTATTCCAAAGGTTGTGTTTTTCTGTGTGTTCTTTTGTTGGGTATCATTTGGTTTTTTCATATGCTTCCAACCCATTTCTCTTTCTTTGCCTCAATCTCCAATCTTGAATGCCAAGTTTGTTCTTTGTTTTTTATGAAATCTGAATTGTTGTTCTTTCCATGTTATTTGTTGGAAGTTTTGTATCATATTTCACTTTTTCTCCGACTCCCACCATCAGGGGTGACGGAAAAAAAGACGGGATTTTTAGTTTTTGTTGTGTGTGTGTGAATTTTCTGTATTTTACTTTATTTTTAAACGGCTATTTACTACACAAGAGTTTGCATGTGCTAAGCTTAGAATTTGGTTTTGCATGTATAGCTCATGGTTGTTGATAAACATTTATAGATTTGAAGCATGATTAGAATTTGTTTACATTGATTTGGAATGTTAAAGATGGTAGTGTTTTATGCCTTCGTTAACTTTGTTGTGTTGTGTGATGTTTTATTTACCAAGTGATGCTAATGGCTGCTTTCATTTGATCACATTTTCCTCTCTCAAAGGAAAGTGTGAATTTTTTTGTCTGATTGCTGCGGCAAAGTGCAAAACGCCTGAAGTGATTAGTGAAGACTTTTTGTTTGTTGTTTTTCTTTAATTTTACATCTTTCTGCTTTTCATATACAGTCGCATACTAGTATTGCAATGGCGACTTGTATACCTGCTGGAAGTGGCACGCTGCAATTTAGAGTGACAAACTGCAAGGGACACAGCTGTAGAAGGACTGCTTCAGTTTCTGGTGCGCAAATCGCGAGATTCTTACGAAAAGATCTTTCATGGTAAAGATCCTAATCCAGGATTCGTATTAATAATTTTTGAAGTCTAAATTTCATTTCCTATTTGTTTCTCTAGTGCTAATTGTTGGATGAAGTTTTATTTGTTTGGATAAGATCATATGATTTTAATTGCAGTTATAATGTTTACTTATTGTTTTTCCCAAAGTATGTTTAGAAGATTTTGATCAAGGAATCATACTAGAAGTGATCTCATATCTTGATATGATAAAATGCCTAAACTAGAACACTTATTTTCTTTGCTAGAGTCTAAAATTTGTTTTTGATGAATTTTTACCTGTTTGCACAAGATCATTTGCCTTTCATTTGATGAACTTATCATCAAGTTTTGTATTTTGTGGAACATGCACATTATTTATTTAACTGTTTGAAGCCAAAAGTTGTGGAAGCTAGCTAGAAAACCTGTCTATCAGTAAAGAAAAGAGTTGTATTGGTATTATACATTGATTAGTCTATTTATACTTAAGTCTTTTGAAGTAGCTTCTGAAAGTTTGATCATAAAGACTCATAAAGAAAATGGATGTTCACTTTCTGCTTCATTATTAGCTGAATTAATGAGTTTCCATTGTTCTGGGGTGAAAAATTTCAGGTCTAAAGCAGTATCCAAGGTCCTGCAGAAACACAAATGTGTGTTTTCTGCACCTCCATTTCAAAAGAATCAGAAACTCTTCAAAATCATTTCCTCTTGCAAGATAGACGGTCCCACAAAATGCTTTGACTTTTCCGTTATTGGGAGTGGGATTGCTGGCCTCTGCTATGCGCTTGAGGTTGCAAAATATGGATCCGTTGCAGTGATAACCAAGGCTGAGTCTCATGAATGCAATACTAATTATGCTCAAGGTGGTGTTAGTGCTGTGCTAAGCCCTTCAGATTCTGTAGAGAGCCACATGAAAGACACCATTGTGGCTGGGGCTTATCTTTGTGACGAGGAAAGCGTCCGAGTATGTTCTGGTCCTATTTAGTTTACATTATAAATCATTCTAACAACCTGATCTATGTCCTGGTCTGTTGGAACATTACACCAATTACATCTGAAATTCTGAATATGCTTTAAGGAGATGGTTCTGATTAAGTTGATTTTTGATGATTTTTTTGTATATTTCCATTTGCTGGCTGTGATGTTCTGTACTAACAAAATTACACAATCAGGGTGTTCAATTTAAATTTGAACTGCAATCTGTTTACTTGATTCTTGTTGGGAATTGCTAAGCACAAAATTTTAGTGAATCCTGAACTTATGTAACCAATCAGCATTTTGCTTGAATTCCTTGGATTTGAAGATGCAAGAATTGTCATGTTTAGGTGTTCAATAATGAATTAATATGTTCTATGACTACTGCATTGAACAATTTATTAACTTAGATTCTTTCTTCCAGGTTGTCTGTACTGAAGGACCTGAAAGAGTCAGAGAATTAATTGCTATGGGTGCCTCGTTTGACCATGGGGAAGATGGTAACTTGCATTTAATGAGGGAGGGAGGTCATTCACATCATAGAATTGTTCATGCTGCTGACATGACTGGAAAAGAGATTGAACGAGCTTTACTAAAGGCAGTTATCAAGAATTCTAATATTTTTGTGTTCGAACACCATTTCGCAATTGATCTTCTTACTTGTCAGGTTTGTTATTTCTGGGATTATATTATCTTTTCTTATACTAAACGTTTTGTATCATACATGGTTTTGCTAGTTTACAGATGTTCTGGCATTTGTGGTATATTTGAAAGTTTAAAGTTTTAGAGGGTTTTTGTTATTTTGAATTTTTCACATCCAAATTTGATCTTTAGAGCATTTTGAATGTTTTGATGAATTCACTAACCAAGCATGCCACTGGTGCTGCAGGATGGATCTGATATAATTTGTCTTGGTGTTGACACACTGAATACTAAAACCCTAGAGGTGGGAAAAGCAATTATCTGTGATCTTGTTGAGAAGAAAATCACTGCCATCAATGAATATATTTTCTGAAATTTCATTTTTTAGCTTGTAGGTGATAAGATTTCTTTCAAAGGTGACTTTACTTGCATCTGGTGGAGCTGGGCATATTTATCCCAAAACTACAAATCCTCTGGTAGTCCACTGTATTAATCCTCTTTTTACTATTTACTGCCTGGTTCATTTTTATTTAAAGTTTTTAAGAACACAATCATGGTGAAAATTGGAATTTTCTAGCATGAGTTTATAATGCAGTTTTATTACAATATCTAAACTCATTATGATTATAACACAGTATTACCTCAATGTAAAATGAATTGAAAGTAAAAGACTTTTTATTTTAGTTACTAACTTATTCATAATGTGCCATCTATTACTCTGATGATAACACTATAATTTTATAATGGATGATTAAGGTATAAATAAAAATTGGCAATAATACAGTCTACTTTAAATTAAAAATGTTGTGGTTTTTATTGATCTAATCGACCCATTTTAGTGCTGTTCATAGTATTGAAATGAATCATCTAATTCTTACACCCCATATGTGTCGACCTGTTTGATGTGTAACCTGCACTATATGGATACTCCGTCTTGCATGTTAATTTGACTTACTTTTTCTAATCACAGGTAGCCACCGGAGATGGGATTGCCATGGCACACCGAGCTCAAGCTGTGATTTCCAACATGGAGTGAGTAGATAATTTCAAAACTGAATATTTACTGTTTAATGAATATCTCACGCCAGTCATGGGAAATAAATAAAAAGTGCCACAGGTTTAGGATATCTGTGACAAGTCTTGCTCTAATTTTGATGATTTGAGGCTGTTCATAATCATAATCAATGTAGTTACAGCTCAGTGAGAATTATATGAGCAAATTAACTGCATCCAATGCTAAAAATCAATTAGATAATTACTTTGGACTTCTAGTGCCCATGTGGGGCACGAACTATTCTTTTTAAATGAATGTAAATAAGCATTATAGTTAGCAATGCTTTGAAGTTAATATGTGATGATCTGTTAGTGTTCTATTATAAGCTGCACATTATCTGGCCTTGTGTAAGATGGAGCTTATCAGCTTTGTATATCCTATTTCATTCTTGTGACACTGCTTTTTACAAAATCATGATTGGACAGGTTTGTGCAGTTCCATCCAACTGCTTTAGCTGATGAAGGACTTCCTATTAAACCAACCAAGCCTAGGGAAAATGCATTTTTGATATCCGAAGCTGTCAGAGGTGATGGGGGCATCCTTTATAATTTAGGCATGGAAAGATTCATGCCCATGTATGATGAGAGGGCAGAGCTTGCTCCAAGGGATGTTGTGGCTAGAAGCATAGATGACCAACTTAAAAAGCGGGATGAGAAGTATGTTCTCCTTGATATAAGTCACAAGCCAAAGGAGGAAATTCTCTCCCATTTTCCCAACATTTCTTCTATGTGTCTCCAGCATGGTTTGGACATAACTCATCATCCAATCCCGGTTGTTCCAGCTGCGCATTACATGTGTGGAGGAGTTCAAGCTGGTCTCCAAGGAGAGACCAATGTGAAAGGTCTGTATGTAGCTGGTGAGGTAGCATGCACAGGTTTGCATGGAGCAAACAGACTTGCTAGCAACTCATTGCTTGAGGCATTGGTTTTTGCAAGAAGAGCTGTGCAGCCCTCAGTTGATTGCATGAAGAACTCTAGCCTTGATCTGACTGCCTCAAACTTGTGGCCTAGACCTGCCATGCCTTTGTCACTCTCTAGTAACGTCACTGACAAGATTTTGTCAATGACAAAGGAATTGAGGACAGAATTGCAATCTATCATGTGGAACTATGTAGGAATTGTTCGGTCCACGTTGAGACTAGAAACTGCCGAGCAAAAAATTGGTAACTTGGAGTCTAAATGGGAGGGCTGCTTGTTTCAGCATGGATGGAAGCCAACAATGGCAGGCCCTGAGATCTGTGAGATGAGAAACCTCTTTTGCTGTGCAAAGCTGGTTATAAGCAGTGCCCTTTCTAGGCGTGAGAGCCGAGGACTGCATTACACAGTTGATTTTCCTGATCTTGAGGAAAGCAAGAGACTTCCCACAATCATTTTTCCTAGTTCAGCTGTAAACAGTACATGGAGTTCTCGACAATTACACAAACAGCCCATGTACCAGTAAGGCATCTAAATAAGTAGATCCAATTGAAATCTAGCAAAATAAGAACCTCAAGTGAATGTCTTCTCTCTCACTTTTTCTGATTTTTACTTCTACTCATTGTTTAACTATAGCTAGAAGATGTATTCCCTATAGTTAATTTGGATCAATCTCAATCAGATGCGTCAGTTTCACTTGCAATCAAATCTCAGAAACTCCGAATACTTTTGTTTTTGGTTCGTAAACGCTATCATGATTCTCTACATACTAAAGAAACATAAGCAGGTGATTAATACTAAACATACTTGGCGTGCAGGGAATTAAGAATGCCTGTAACAGGGTTACACCATCATTCACCATAATCTGATTATTAACAGAGTAGCATTACTACTTAGAATTAGAAAGCATATATAGAATGCTATAATTTGTAATCAATCATTTTATGTTGTTATCATACAAACTGTGTTTTGGGTATTTTTAATCATTGAGACTCTAACAAGCCTTTGTTATTCCTTGAAATAGTTGTCCATGCATCAGTATAGACAATCTGAAATAATCTTGACGAAATGATGATGTGTGTGAAGATATTGGATCTATTTAGGCTACAAAATGATATTGTGTTAACCTTTCTCTTTGTCTGTGCTTCTTTTCTCTCTCTTCCCTTTCAAAATACTTTCCCTTCATATCAACCCATTCTCACTACAAGTTTCTTGCTTGCTCTTTTTCTCCTTTCTAATCCAATGCATCACATGATTCCTTACCCAACAGGGAAAATAGATGTAGGATAAGAAACCCTTGTAAACACAAGGTAAAAGAAAACAAGGACACATAATATTGCTCAAAATACAATAAAGTTGTACAATCTATATTCTCAAGTACCTAAACATTTTGTATAAGAATTTAAGAAACCTTTCCAAATACAAGCTAAAAGAAAACAGGGAGATATAGTTCCTCAAGGGCTGAGCCCTTGACTACCTTATTCAAAACAGAAAATTTCAACATATGGCAAGTCTAATCCTTACATCATTTTACATTTTTTCTGCATAAAACCAAGAACTGTCAGAATTTTCATGTGACATCCCTTGATTGTAATTCGAGAGAGGAAATAGTCATTCTGTTGATATGCAATCTAGCAATTGAAAGTTGCCAATAATTAGAATGTTGAAAGTGTGTTCTGATCTGGTTACTCTTGAATTTTGATGAAGCTCAAAGTTTCCTTTTATTAAGAAAAGATAATCTAGAATATAATTTTGGCTTAATTGCACATTTTCCAATCAATTTTCGATGATTTTATTTCCTAGATTTGTTCTTACACATTTTATATAACAAAGAATTGACATAAAATGACATCATTTTATTACAACTTAATATAAAATCATGTTGTCTTGTTACCAATTCAAAAATTAAAACCCATAATGGTAAAATGTATAAAAAGAAAAATTGAGCAGTAAAAAATGTAAAAATTAAAACTTTGATGATAAAATATGTATAAAAATTAAAACTTTGATGGTAAAATATGTAAACAATAACTAAATAATAAAATTTGCTTCAGATAATAATGGAGTAATAAAATGTCCATTTGTAATTTTGTAGAGTGAAATATCTTTTCTAAAATAAAAAGAGCATTCATGGCCCATTTCTTCACTGAACTAGAGAACTGATGCAGAGAATCTCTAAACGCCATTGATGCTGCTGTCTGACACTTCATCATCAATCATTGATCCTTATCCTTCATTTTAGGATCAGAGTACCAGCATAAATACACACAACTAAAATAGAGACGAGAAAAATAACCCTGACAATAGGCAAAAATGAAAATTTTATAATGACCACTCTTTCCTTTTACAATTGGAAATCACCAATACTAGGAAAGTAAAAGAGAAAGAAGGAGAAATATTTGGGATGATGAAATAAGGAGGGAGGGGCTCCTTTTATAAGAGGGAGGAGAGCCCCCCAATTGAAGTTCCCACCGATGTGGGACTTCTTTCTTCACAATCTCCCACTTGAAGATTTTGATGAAATTAATCAAATCTTCACACTATGTCTTCTTCTCTCACATCCATGTTGCTTATGCTTCCGATAGGCCATAGAGGGATCGACTCCATATAAACTTGTCAGCATTAACCTGGCTTTGTCATTACATCTCGCTAGGTTCTTCTCAAGTGTGGATCTTCTCGTAAATCTACACTTCCTTCTTCTACTACTTCTCGAACAAAATGATATCTTATTCCTATGTGTTTTGTCCTCGAATGAAAGGTCGGATTCCTTGCAATGTGTAAGGCACTTTGACTATCACAAGTACACAACAATTTGTTGTTGCTTGTGACCAAGTTCCCCCATTATTCTTTTAATCCGGATAGCTTCTTTACATGCTTGGGTGACGACCATGTATTCAGCTTCCGTAGTAGACAGAGCTACCACATCTTGTAACTTGGATAACCAACTTACTGCCCCTCCATTGATGGTAAACACATAACCAAGTAGTAGACTTCCTTTTATCCAGATCACCTGCAAAATCCGAATCTACATAGCCTCCGACAACCGCTTCGATCCTCCATAACATAATGCAACATTTGAGGTTCCTTTTATATACCTAAGGACCCTCTTCACATTTTGCCAATGTTCTCCACCAGGATTCCCCATGAATCTACTAACCACTCCCACCGCTTGTGCAATGTCCAGGTCTTGTACAAATCATGGCATACATAAGACTTCCCACTCGCCGATGCATACGGTACTCGAGACATTTCAATCCTCTCCGCTTCACCGCTAGGACTCATACTTGAGGATAACTTACAGTTGACAGGAAGTGGGGTAGAAATTGGCTTGCAATCTTGCATGTTGAAGCGCCGCAAGATCTTAAGTAAATAATTCTTTTGAGAAAGCCAAATCTTCCTATCTTTTCTGTCTCGGTGAATTTGCATCCCTAAAATCTTGTTTGTTGGTCCCAAGTCCTTCATATCAAACTCCCTAGCCAATTGTGCCTTCAATTCTTGGATTCGAGCTTTGTTAGGGCCTACCACCAACATGTCATCCACATACAACAACAATATGATGAAATCATTTTCTTCAAACCTATTGTGGTAAGTACAATGGTCCGAACTTAGTCCGTAGTATCCGAGGCTAATAATGAAGGAATCAAATCTCTTATACCAACACCTTGGCGCTCGCTTTAGACCGTATAGAGATTTGTTCAACCTCGCAAACCAAGTTTTCTTGCTCTTTGAAGCCTTCCGGTTGGAGCATATATATTTCCTCTTCAAGTTCTCCATGAAGAAAAGCAGCTTTTACATCCAATTGCTCAAGATGTAAATCAAATGCAAGCACACATCGCCAGGACAATTCCGATTGTTGTCAATCTAACAACTGGTGAGAATATCTCGTTGAAATCAATGCCTTCTTTCCGAGCATATCCTTTTACCACCGAGCCTAGCACGATATCTTTCTACTTGATCATTGACATCTCTCTTGATCTTATAGACCCATTTGCAACCAATGGCTCTGCGACCTTTTGGAAGTTCCACAAGATGCCATGTCTTGTTTTTATGAAGAGCTTCAATTTCTTCTTCCATAGCAGCCATCCATAGAGGAGCTTCGAACCACTCACGGCCTCTTGAAAAGTTGAAGGTTCTCCTTCTTCACTTAGGAGACAATACGCATCATGACTTGCCATCACATATTGTGAATGCCAAGATGGTCTCGACTCTTTCTCTTGTTGATCGTCGGAGTTCTCCTTCTTCCACCTCATTTGGCTCATGTTCTTCATGCTCCTCCTCCGACTCGGAGGAATGTTCGAAGTCTTCTTCTCTATCTCGTACTATAGTTTTGTCCTTTTCCGAACCGTCATTTATCCGCTTGCTTTGCAGTTCATTTTCTCGCAAAGACGACATCTCTCGCTAACAATAACTTTGTGGGCGTGGGATCCCACAAGCGATACCCCTTCACATTGTCAGCATATCCCAAGAAGATGCATTTCCTGGATTTTGGATCCAACTTCGTCCTTTCTTGGGTGTTGTACATCACGTACGCGGGACAACCGAACACATGTAAGGAAGAATAATCGGTTGATTTTCCACTCCACATTTCCATAGGAGTTTTCAACCCAATTGCTCGTTGATGGAGACCGATTTATCAAGTAACGAGCAGTATTCACGGCTTCGCCCGTAAAGACTTTGTTATGCCTGCAGCTTGCAACATAGCTCTCGGTTCTCTCTAGAAGAGTTCTATTCATCCGCTCCGCTACACCATTCTCGCGAGGCGTGTGTGGAACGGAAAATTGTCTCACAATTCCTTCTTGCTTGCGGAATGCTAGAAAATCTCCATCTACATATTCTCCTCCATTGTCCGTCCTCAAACACTTGATTTTCCTTCCGGTCTCAAGTTCTACTTGTGCTTTGAAGTCTTTGAACCGCGCAAATACTTCGGACTTCTTCTTGATAGGGTATACCCATAATCTCCTCGAGTAGTCATCGATGAACGACACAAAATATTTTGCTCCTCCGAGAGATAATTCCGGTGATTCCCGGACATCGAATGGATCAAGTCCAAAGTTTGCTTACTCCTTGTGGTGGTTCTTGCAAACTTCAACCCGTGTTGTTTGCTTGTCACACAATGCTCACGTAAGGGTAAATCGACCTTCTTGAGCCCAGGTATGAGATCACGTTCCGCAAGAATCTGCAGACCTCGCTCCGACATATGTCCAAGTCTACGGTGCCACGTTATCGCCGCTTCTTCTTGGCTTGTCGACGCAGCTTGTTGCATGATTTTCTTGCAAGGTGTCTCCCATAAGCACATACAAGTTTGCCATGATTTTCTCTCGCTTTCATGACAACTATGTTTCCCCTCACTACCTTTAAGATTCCTCCTTCAACATGGATCTTGCAGTCGAGGTCATCCAATTGCCCTATAGACAATATATTTTTCTTCAAGTCCTTCACATGTCGTACTTCTTGGATTGTGCGAATAGTACCAGTCATACATTTTTAATTTGACAAGTACCAACTCCAAGCAATCTCCAATGCATGGTCATTTCCCATGAACACGGATCCACCCGAGATAGGCTTGTAGGTTTGAAACCAATCTCGGTGTGGGGTCATATGCCAAGTTGCACCTGAATCCATTATCCACTTGTCATGAAATTCGTTTCCGCCATTAGAGCCGATTGCTGCTTCGCTTACCGAATTACTCCTTCCTCCGAAGTACTCGCAATGCAACCTTGTGAGGTTGATTCTTCATTCTTCCTCTTCCAACACTCTTTCTTCGTGTGCCCTTTCTTGCCACGGTAGTAGCATTTAAATTTGAAAGTCTTCTTGTTTCGAGAGCTAGATCTGCCATGATCTTGACTCCCACTTGAGCCACGTTCCGCTGATCTTCCTCTCATCATCGTCAAAACTTCGCTTGTTTAGAACTTTCTACCTTATTCATTCGCCTGGATTCTTCTTCTAGAATAGCTCCGGCAACATCGTCAAAGTGTAGTTGTCCTTCAATATTATTATTTGTAATGTTGATGATGAGTTGATCATACGAGTCCGGCAAGCTCGAAGTAAGAGCTCCGCACGCTCATTCTCAACTATGTTGAAATTTGTCGCTGCTAATTGGGCAAACAAGGTGTTCAGTTGGTTGATGTGGTCCGTCACCGATGTGGACTCACTCATCCGAAGAGTATAGAGTTTCCTCTTCAGGAATATCCTTGTGTGAAGTGACTTCACCTCATATAATTTAATGAGGGCATCCCAAATCTCCTTTGCGTAATCTTTCTCCGCAACACTCGGATAGAACCGAGTCCGCCATTGCCAAGTGTAAATTTGCAATAGCGTTGCCGTTAATTTTCTTCCAATCTTTATCCGTCATTTCTGCAGGTTTTCCCTCAATTGCTTCGCGCAATTGTCCTTTCTCAAGATTGCCTTCATCTTCAATTTCCACAACGAGAAATTGTTCCCGTTGAACTTCTCTATCTCGTACTTTGCCGCCATGGTTGTATACAGTACTTATGCAACTATCACTTATAAATAGTATTGTCTACCGGAACAATAGTAGTAAACCGTGAACCAAGTACACTAAGTAGGTTCCCAGGAAAGAGAGGTGGGTCACTAATGGACACGCTTAAGTACCAAGTCTTTCCTAGCCGAACTTTCCTCAATAGTACTTTCACACTACCACACCTTTTCCAAGAATAACTCCTTTCCGATGTGGAAGATCGATTAAACCGCAACCACAGAGCATACTCGAATTTTACCAACACTATTCTAGTGACGCGCAACGAACTCGAACGCAGCTCCGATACCACTGTTAGGATCGAGTACCAAAGATAAATACACACAACTAAAATAGAGACGAGAAAAATAACCCTAACAATAGGCAAAAATGAAAATTTTATAATGACCACTCTTTCCTTTTACAATTGGAAATCACCAATACTAGGAAAGTAAAAGAGAAAGAAGGAGAAATATTTGGGATGATGAAATAAGGAGGGAGGGGCTCCTTTTATAAGAGGGAGGAGAGCCCCCCAATTGAAGTTCCCACCGATGTGGGACTTCTTTCTTCACACTTCACTCTCAAGTTGTGAATCAATTTCATGACCCTTTTCATTAAAGAAAAAAGTTATCAATAAAATGCCTTTAATTTGTTATCAAGTCACTGATAAGATATAATATAAGAATTAATATTACAAGTAAATGATTTTGCTCTAACTTCCTGCAAATAATAGTACAAAAATCATATTTGATTATGAGTTTCTGGATTTGAGTTTGATGAAGCCGAATTTGATTGCCATGTTGTTATGATTTATGTTTCTTTTCCATGATACAAGTTCTTGCTTCATGGGAAAATATTGCTGCAATTAAAATTAGGTTTAATTATTTATTTGATCTTTATAATTATTTTCATTTTAAATCTCAGTCTACAATACTGCAAAAATTACAAGTTTTAATCTTTTACACAAGTTTTAATCTTTTACAAGTTTCTGACATTAATAAACTATTTCAAAAACTGTTTTGCATTAATAATTCAATCTTAAAATTGTATAATAAACTTAAATGCTTTGCAATGATGAAACTTAACAAGAATAAAAATTCTTATATATCCCAGAAAGAAAAAAAGTGTAATGTAGAGACTTCTAAAATGATTAAAAATGTAACTTTTAATTCACGAATCTGTCATATACATGTTCACTTGATAACATTCATAAAATGATTAGTCGGTTGCAGAGGTTGCTTGTGGATTTTTGTTTTCCAGACACAGTAATCATAAAGAAGAAGAAGAAGTCAATTTCTCTTTCAAATATGGAAAAAAAAAAATTCCCTAAAACAGAAGAGAGAATGTATTATGCACATTATGAATAAAAAGGAAGGAAAAATTATACAGTGACATGAGAACAAAGTTTAAATATTGAGATGATAAATTAATTGAATTTTAAATAAGTTTACTATTTGATTTTTGTTTTGAGTATTTAATGATTTTTTTAGATTGAATACTTAATAAATTAATCATTTTAATTTAAGTATTATAAGAGTATTACTATTCAAATGTCTCTTAAATTATTCCATGTTTTACATAATGATTAATTATATGATACAAAAAATATTTCAATTTTTTTAATAATAAATATAAAGTAATATTTTATTTAAAACTTCAACTAAAATATTTAAATGATTAGAAACTTAAAATAAATTTGATTAAATATTCGCAAAATAAAATTTATTTAAATCAATAATTTACTCTATCATCCCATTATAAACTACCTTATTACATAAGGTTATTAAAAAAATATGATTAGGAATTAAAAGATAATCAAATTTTTTAATAAAAATAAGTATTAATAAAGTCGATAAATCTTTCTATGATAATATGTTATAAAAAAACTGCTATGACAAATTTATTTCACTTATAAAATAATTACTTTAAAAATACCAGCTATAATCTTTTTCTTATTATAAAACTGTTCATACCACAAACTTGTGAGCCTATAAACTTCATTGAGAAAATATTGTCGGTGATATAAATCTTTCTTGTTCAGAGTTAGCATGGAATAGTCATTGCCTCAGTGGTGTCTGAGGACGGCACTTCATGATCCTATTTATTGAGTGGTAAAGGACCACTTTTGTCAAACAAATTTTCTTACTAACACTTGTAGATATTGCTGCCACTACCACAGCACAACCATGAATTCTAGGAGGCTGATTTATGCACTTGGGTGGTTCAAACTGTGTGTGGCATGTACATTCATTCAAGTCTCATTTGGGAAAGCCTCCAACTTCAGCAAATGTTGGTTCCCAGCAATTTACAACTTTGGAGACTCAAATTCAGACACAGGCGCTGTTTCTGCAGCATTTACTGGGGTGAAGCCTCCCAATGGCATAAGCTTCTTTGGAAGCCTCTCAGGAAGGGCTTCTGATGGCCGTCTCATCATAGATTATATGAGTAAGCAAAGCATAGTCTATACTCTATATTTTTCCCTCATATTCACAACCATGATGATACATTTAAGGCTTCTAAAACTGCTTTTTAGAACTTCTGTTTGTCATGTCTGCATAGGTACACACAGTTGAGGATTGTTTAACATGTTTCCTACAAGTGTTAGTGTATAAAAAATGTCTGACATGTTAATACGTTATTATACAGAAGTGTTGGTGTTCATATCTTTTAGCTTGTATCCAAACAGATTCTTACTTGTGTGCTTTTTATTTTGTATGTATCAATTAGATAGGCACCTTTTTCACTCAAATTTGGTGAGATCATTCTGACCCTATTGGCTACTCACTCATTCATGGACTATTGAAGTTTTACATTTCTTATGTGTATCTCCTTTTTGTGGGGATGGTTGTGGACACATGTAGCTGAAGAGTTGAAGCTGCCATACCTGAGTGCATATTTGGACTCTGTTGGATCCAATTACAGGCATGGTGCAAACTTTGCAGTAGGAGGCTCATCCATTCGGCCTGGTGGTTATAGTGCATTCCCTCTTGGCCTTCAGGTAGATCAGTTTCTACAGTTCAAGTCTCGCACCAACATTCTCTTTAATCAGCTTTCTGACAACAGTTAGTTTCTCTTACCCTTAGCATTTTCTTTCATTTTTATGTGATTTTGTTTGCATGATAGACCAATGTGTACAGATATTGTTTCCAAGTTCAAACAAGAATTGTGAACATCCAGAAGCAATCTTCCTGAACAATCATCCTCCATTGCGTCTCAGTATCCCTCTCTTCGCATACTAAAAACCATATAGTCTATTTTCCTGGCTAGTGCTTCCGCAAACCTTCTTTTGCACACGTTCAAACTATCTTAACCGATTGTTGTCATCTTTTCTTCAGTTGGTGACATACCAATATTTCTTCATATACAATCTTTTTATTCTATCCTTCCTTGCGTAGCTAGACATTCATCTTAATGTTTCTGAATTCTCCCACGTTAATAAAGTGCTATAGTTAGTGCGTTTGCTTTTAAAAAAATATATATGGTGATTCCTGTTAGGTATCAGACTAGCACAAGAACTCAACTAAAATAGAGAAGAGAAAAATAGAATAGCAATAATGGACAAAAGTAGAAATTTTATAATAGCAAGGAAAGATTACACACCCCTTCTCTAGTCCTAAAATTGACAACACTTTCTAATACTAGAGAAGGAAAGGAATTTTTTTGGGATGTATAGAATGGGGGGTATGTGGTTTCTTATATAACCACTCACCCATACCCCCTTTGAAGTACCCACAGATGTGGGACTTTGTTCTCACAATCTCCCACTTGAAGATTTTGATGAAATTAATCAAATCTTCACACCATGATTATCTTTTCCATCTATGCTCGCTTATGCTTTCAATAGGCCATAACAGGATCGACTTAGTATAAACTTGTCAGCATTTACTCGGTTTTGTCAAGGCATCTCGCTAGGTTATCTTTGGTATGAATCTTCTGCATATCCACACTCCCTTCCTCTACTACTTCTCCGACAAAATGATATTGTACTCCTATGTGTTTTGTTCTGGAATGAAAAGTCTGGATTCCTTGCAATGTGCAAGGCACTCGACCGTCACAATACACATTGATCTTCTCGTTGCTTGTGTCCGAGTTCTCCCAATAACCTTTGAATCCAAATTGCTTCCTTGCATGCCCGGGTAGCCGCCATGTACTCCGCCTCTGTAGTAGATAAGGCTACAACAGTCTGCAGTTTAGATAGCCAACTTACCGCTCCACTTGCAAGTGTAAACACATATCCTGTAGTAGATTTTCTTTTATCAAGATCACCTGCAAAATCTGAATCAACATATCCTCTCGACAATAAACTCGATCCTTCAAAACATAATGCAAGCATTAGAGGTTCCTTTAATGTATCTTAGGATTCTTTTCACGAGCATTCCAAGTGCTCTCTACCAGGATTTGCCATAAATCGACTAACCGTCCCAACCGCTTGTGCAATATCCGGTCTCGTACAAATCATAGCATACATAAGACTTCCCACCGTCGATGCATACGGCACTCGAGACATTTCCATCCTTTCCGCTTCATTGCTAGGACACATATTTGAGGATAATTTGTAATTGATAGGCAATGGGGTAGAGATTGGCTTACAATCTTGCATGTTGAAGCGCCGCAAGATTTTCTTAAGATAATTCTTTTGAGAGAGCCAAATCTTCCTATCCTTTTTGTCTCGGTGAATTTGCATCCCTAAAATCTTGTTTGCGAGTCCCAAGTCCTTCATATCAAATTCCCTAGCCAATCGTGCCTTCAATTCTTGGACTCGATCTTTGTTGGGGCCTACCACCAACATGTCATCCACATACAACAACAAAATGATGAAATCATTATCATCAAACCTCTTGTAATACGTACAATGGTCCGAACTCGATCTGTTGTATCCGAGGCTAATAATGAAGGAATCAAATCTCTTGTACCAACACCTTGGCGCCTGCTTTAAACCGTACAAAGATTTGGTCAACCTACAAACCAAGTTTTCTTTTCCTTGTTCTTCAAAGCCTTCCGGTTGGAGCATATAAATTTCTTCTTCAAGTTCTCCATGAAGAAAAGCAGTCTTTACATCCAATTGTTCAAGATGTAAGTCAAATGCAGACACACATAGCTAACACTACTCCGATAGTGGTAAGTCTAACCACTGGAGAGAATATCTCATTGAAATCAATGCCTTCCTTTTGAGCATACCCTTTTACTACCAGTCTTGCACGATATCGTTCCACTTGATCATTACCATCACGTTTGATCTTATAAACCCATTTGTTGCCGATGGCTTTTCGACCTTGTGGAAGTGCAACAAGCTCCCATGTCTTGTTTTTGTGTAAGGCTTCTATTTCTTCTTGCATTGCTCGCCATCCACAGAGAAGCATCTCGAACTACTCACAGACTTCCCGAAAGGTTGACGGTTCTCCCTCTTCTGTTAGAAGACAATATGCATCATGACTTGCCATTACATAGTCCGAGTGCCAAGATGGTCTCCTTATCTCGACGTGTTATTCGTCGAACTTCGTGTCATTGGCCTCTTCTGGTTCTTGCTCCTCATGCTCCGGTTCTCGCTTCTAAAGAATCTTCTTCTCCGGACTTTCCATCTATTTGTACAGTAGTTACCTCTTTAGAAGTGCTCGTCATTTACTTGTTCATTTTGCAGTTCATTCTCCGCAAAAATTACGTCTCTGCGACAATAACCTTGCGGGCAGTGGGATCCCACAGGCGATACCCCTTAACTCCGTCAAGCATAGCCCAAGAATATGCATTTTCTGGATTTTGGATCCAACTTTGTTCTTTCTTGGGAGTTGTACATTACGTACACAGGACATCCAAACACATGTAGAGAAGAGTACTCTGCCGGCTTTCCTTTCCACATTTCCATAGGTGTCTTTAAACCAATCACAGTTGATGGAGATCGATTTATCACGTAACAAGCTCGTCTTCACTGCTTCGCCCAAAAGACTTGGCTAATCTTGCTCGTTTGCAAGATAGCTCTAGTCCTCTCTAGGAGAGTTCTATTCATCCGCTCTGCTACACCATTTTGCCGAGGTGTATGAGCAACCGTGAACTGTCTCCTTATACCCTCCCGCTTGCGTAATGCCGAAACTCACCATCTGTATATTCTCCTCCATTGTCTGTCCTTAAGCACTTGATCTTCTTTCCAGCTTCAAGCTCCACTTGTGCTTTGAATTCCTTGAAAACTGGAAACACATCTCGACTTTTTCTTGATTGGGTACACCCACAATCTCCTAGAGTAATCATCAATAAATGATACAAAATATTTAGCTCCTCCTAGGGACATTTCCGGTGACTCCCACACATCGAATGTATCAAGTCAAGTATGTGTTTGCTTCTAGTAGTTGACTTTTCAAATTTCAATCTATGTTGTTTGCTTGTCACACGATGTCTCACGTAAAGGTAAGTTTACCGATGTGAGCCCGGTAAGAGTTTACGTTCCACAAGGACCTTCAAGCCCCGTTCGACATATGGCCTAGTCTCGCGATGCCACATTGTCGTTGATTCCTCTTGACTAGCCGATGCAACCGATACATCTCGCCTCTTGCAACGTATCTCCCGTAAGCATGTATAGGTTTGCAAGCAAACTTCTCTCGCTTTCATCACTACTAGAGCACCTTTCACTACTTTCAAGATCCCACCTTCAATATGGGTCTTGCAACCGAGGTCATCCAATTGTCCAATAGACAATAAATTCTTTCTCAAACCCTTCACATGTCGTACCCCTTGAATTGTACGAATAGTCCCATTGTACATCTTCAATTTGACAGTACCGATTCCAGCAATTTCCAAGGCGTGATCATTACCCATGAACACAGATCCCTCCGAGATAGGTTTATAAGTGCAAAACCAATCTCTTCGTGAAGTCATGTGCCATGTTGCTCCTGAATCTATTATCCAAACATCGCTGAGTTGTTTTTCACCTTTGGAACCAATAGTCGCTTCGCTATACGGGATTTCTCCATCATCGGAGGTACCGGCAACACATCCTTGAGATGTAGTTGCCTCAGAAGACTTCTCTACATTTTTCTTCTTCCAACAATCTTTCTTCAAGTGCCCTCTCATGCCACAATAGTAGCATTTGAAATTCTTCCTTCCTCGAGATTTTGATCTACCATGGTTTTGACTCCCACTGGAGCCATGCTCTGTTGATCTTCCTCTCATCATCGTCAAAGCCTCTGCTTGCTTGGAATTTTCCAATCTATCTACTTTATTCTTGCGTCTGGATTCTTCTTCTAGAGTAGCTCCGGCAACATCCTCAAAGCGTAGATTTCCTTCCATATTAGTATTTGTTATGTTGATGATGAGTTGATCGTATGAGTCTGGTAGACTCTGAAGTAGAAGTTCCGCACGTTCATTTTCAACTATGTTGAAATCTGCTGCTGATAGTTGGGCAAATAAGGTGTTCAGATGATTAATGTGGTCCGTCATCGATGTGGACTCATTCATCCGAAGAGTGTAGAGTTTCCGCTTCAAGAATATCCTTGTGTGAAGAGACTTCACCTCATATAATTTGATGAGGGCATCCCAAATCTCCTTTGCTGTATTCTTTTCCGCAACATCTGGATAGTACGGAATCCGCCATTGCTAAATGCAAATTTGCTATAGCATTTCCGTCAATTTCCTTCCACTTCGATTCGTCATTTCGCGGTCTTCCTTCAATTGCATCAAGGCAATTGTCCTTTCTCAAAATTGCCTTCATCTTCAATTTCCATAACGAGAAATTGTTCCCGTTGAACTTCTCTATCTCATACTTTGCTCGCCATAGTTGTGTTTCTACTTATGCAACTCTCACTTATGAATAGTATTGTCTCATCGGAACAATAGTAGTAGACCGTGAACCAATACACTAGGTAAGTTCCCAGGAAAGAGAGGTGAGTCACTAATGGACACACTTAAGTACCAAGTCTTTCCTAGCCGAACTTCCCGCACAACAGTTTCACACTACTACACCTTTTCCAAGTAACAACTCTTTTCCGATGTGGAAGATCAGATTAAACCGCAACCACAGAGCATACTCAGAATTTTACCAACACTATTCTAGTGACTAGCGCAACGGAATAAGAACGTGGCTCTGATACCACTGTTAGGTATCAGACTAGCACAAGAACTCAACTAAAATAGAGAAGAGAAAAATAAAATAGCAATAATGGACAAAAGTAGAAATTTTATAATAGCAAGGAAAGATTACACACCCCTTCTCTAGTCCTAAAATTGACAACACTTTCTAATACTAGAGAAGGAAAGGAATTTTTTTGGGATGTATAGAATGGGGGGTATGTGGTTTCTTATATAACCACTCACCCATACCCCCTTTGAAGTACCCACAGATGTGGGACTTTGTTCTCACAATTCCTCATGAGTGGTGACATTGAAACTTGAATCTGTGTGAGTGTGATGTTTCCAGGGACAGAGCCCCCTTTCAAAAGTAGTCTTCCAAGGCCAGAGGACTTTTCCAGGGCCCTATACACCTTTGATATTGGACAAAACGATCTTGCCTTTGGTCTTCAGCACACTTCACAGGAACAAGTTATTAAGTCGATTCCTGACATTTTGAGCCAGTTCTTCCAAGCAGTGCAGGTAACCAGCCCCCAAATCATTGTTGACATTATCAGATATAATACAGCAGTAAAAGTTGGTTCTGGAACTGATACTTGTAATGGCTACATTTCAGCAACTATACTATGAAGGGGCAAGAGTGTTCTGGATTCATAACACTGGTCCAATTGGATGCTTGCCCTACAGTTACATTTATTATGAGCCCAAGAAGGGTAACATAGATGCAAATGGCTGTGTGAAACCTCAGAATGAGCTTGCTCAGGAATTTAACAGGCAGCTCAAGGACCAAGTGTTTCAGCAGAGGAAAAAGTTCCCACTTGCCAAATTTACGTATGTTGATGTTTACACTGCTAAGTATGAACTAATCAGCAATGCAAGGAACCAAGGTAATCTTCAAGTCTTCAAAATCACATATAATTTAGAGAAATGCATGTTTTGTCTTGACCATACAATAACTTGTTGCTTTGAGTTGCCTTAAGTTTAGAAACTTTCACTGTAGTTCTTAAAATGTTTCCGTTAGATCAAGTTGGTCTTTCCATCAATTTACCACACTAACTTGGTCAGGTGACATATGACAAACTGTAAGAGATGTGCCACACTATATCCATGTTTGTCACATTAGTCAAATTTAATGTTACTGCAAAAACTGACGGAAAAACTAATTTGGTTTATAATAAACACTCTAAGGAACTAAATTAATAGTTTTGAACAAAATGAAAAGAAAAGAAAAGTTGAGAGACCAACAATGTATTTTAGCATTATCATTGTTCAACTCACTTCAATGCTTGATTTATGACAGGTTTTACGAGTCCATTGGAGTTCTGTTGTGGCAGTTACTATGTCTACCACATAAATTGTGGGAAGAAAGCCATAGTGAATGGAACAGTATATGGCAATCCATGCAAAAATCCTTCTCAACATGTTAGTTGGGATGGCATACACTACTCTCAAGCAGCAAATCAATGGGTTGCTAAGAGAGTTCTCTATGGCTCCCTCTCTGACCCACCAATTCCAATTGGGCAAGCGTGTGTCTGAGCATTGTTCATTCAGTTCATGCATCACTAGCTAGTCACTAATATTGAGATGGAGTACCATACATTATAGGGGGCTTCACTCTTCACATTGTTATTTCAATAAACGAGCAATTTGTGTAAGAACAAGTGCGATGGCATACATAACATTGCATAATTTATGTTGTGGAGATAGCTAGTGTAGGTTAGTTTTATGTGAGATCACACTGTAACAGCTCAAGTACCTGAAAATGTCCATATCTTCAAAGGATAGGAATTTGGAAGAGAAGATTTTGTTGTTCGGTCAACTTAAATATTTGGATTTTAGTGCAGTGCAGGTCCCTTTTATAGTTCAGTCCAAAAGGCCTTTTTGCCCCGACTGTTTCATAAATTCACAAGTTACTCATCAGTGATACTGATAGGGGTAGCTTTATAATTTTACTGTAATTGTGTTTCACTCTTGGTTTCTGTAATTATTTTTATTTGTTGTTTATTAAGTTGTTTTAATCCTTGAAATAAATATATGTTTTGGTTTTAACTCCTATTATATATTGATAATTCGTTTTTAATTTCCATCTAATATTGTTAAAAAAAAGCTAATTTTAAATAAAAAAGACATATATTTCAAGGTCTGCATCAAATAACAATGAACAAAAAATTGTAGAGACTAAAGCCAAAGAACAAAAATTTGGAGACTAAAAAGTGTAAGGGTATGTTTGAAAAAAAAATCTAGGAGAAAAAAATAAGAAAAGGAAAAATGAAATGAGCTTTGTTAACAATAAAGAATTTAAAGAAGTTATATTAAATAACTTCTATAAATTATTTTACACACATATGGGGATATTTTTTTACTCTTTTAGAGGTGTTTATAAAATATTTGTTAAGTATGATTATAATTCAAAGAAGACGTGCATTACAATGCAAGCATCAGATTTTGATATATGATGTGACCTACAAATACGGTTCTGCAGTTTCATATTCATGCTTGTCACGTTCATAAGATCCTTGACTATAACATTGGAACTTAAAATTTGTGGTTGCATTGTAGCTAAAACCTGGTTAGAAGTAACTGAGTTTTCCAATTGGAGTTTGGTGTACCAGCAGCAGTGAAAATCAAGTATCAACATCCATTTGTGTACAGAGTTTTTAATTTCCACCATTTATGAATTCAATTATACAAAGACAATTATGAATAACCGAAAACTCTCCTCTTCACTATGGAAAATAGCTTATATGAAGTAACTTCTGTGAACATCCTTTGGTAACAAACAATTGGATAGTGGAACCTACTTCCACTTTGTTATTGTTTCCTGGCCAAATTTGAAAACAATGATCAAAATAAGCAATTGTATTCTATATACAGCCACATGTTTATAGGACCTTGATGCCATTGTTTTTTATGAGCTGAGAGTTGGTGTCAAGAAGAGTTTCCAATGATCTTCTTGATCTCCTGTTCCTGGCCCTGCCTGCTTCTTTCAACAACTCTTCCAACCTACGTTTCTCATCATCCACATCAGGGTTTGCTGTTCCAAGCTTCTCTTCTCTCATGCCAACAACATACTCCAAGATTTCAATGGCATCATCCACTCTGCATAACATCACAAAATTAACAAGAAATGTTTGCAATAAGTGTTCTTGTAATGCAAGAAGTAGGACACAAAGGAGAAGAAGAAAGTAATAGTGACAAGCAACAAATAGAATCATGTTATTAGACATGAACTAATATTTAGGTGAGGGATTTCATATATAGAACTGTTATCCAATCACAAATTATCATATATGGTAGTAAGTTTGTGGATGTTTACATTAACTACTTTAAAAATCATGCAGACGATTACTTCTGATTGATTGACAGTGTAAAATGTTTTAAATTAACAAAGCATAGTATTTTACAAGTACAATGCATGAAAGTTAAATTCTTTTCAAATCAGAACAAGACCAAAAAGAGATTGATTATGTTACCTTCCCATTGCATCATAGGTTCCTGCTAGATTGCTATAGACTCCTAAGGTGTCTGGATGATATGGACCATACTCTTTTTCCAGTATAGTCCTGGCCTCTTCAAACAGATCTGCTGCCTCATTTATAGCATAACACTGCACACAGGCTAGCCCCATTTGGTTCAAAGCAATCCCAAATAAAGCAGTTTTTTTCTCTCCGCTGGCGCGAAATTTGGCAATGGCACTTTTGAATATGTTGTAAGAGTCAGAAAAGTTCCCCAGCATGTAATACATAACCCCCATTTGGGCCTCAATTCCTGCAACAGTGCTTTGTTGACCAGGAGCATTGCCATATATCTTCAAGGCCTTTTTCAGTAACTTCAACCCCTTTTCCATATCATTCATGGATTGATAGATGGCGGCAACATCTATCAGACCACTGGCAATCTCTTCAGGGGTGATCCCCGGCTTGATCTTCCCAAAAATTCTGAGTGCATTTTCACAGTAAGACTTGGACTCCTTAAACTTCCCTATCTTGTTGTACAGATCAGCCAACCTGACAAAGACTGAAGCAACTGTTGGATGATTCTCTCCTTTGGTTGATTTGAACACAGTGAGTGCTTTCTGATAAGAAAACACTGCCTCATCATAGCGAGCCAATGCCAAATAGGCATCACCAATGCTGCAATCCACTGAAGCCACATCTGCTTCATGGCCATTTGCAGCCATAGCCATGCTTGCCAAAACATAATGCTCTAGAGCAGCTTCATAATCACCCTTTGAGTCACAGATAAGCCCCATTAGTCTCCTATCTGCTGCTTCCTCAATAGAAGCAGGAGCCCCATTTCCTCTGTGAATATCAAGAGCCATCTGGCACAGCTTCTCAGCATCATCAAACTGCAGTGCCTGAACATGTGCCTCAGCCACGTACCGACACGTCTCACCGAATCTTGGATCTGTTTCCCCCATGACCTGACCTTGAATCTCAAGACCTGCTGTGTAAAACAGCAGAGAATTCTCAATCTGCCCCATCATTGCATAAGTGTCACCCAATTGCATGCATCCTGCAAACTTAGCCAGTGCATGATCTTGGCCATCTTCCAACACAGGAATATCAATAGAACGCTCAAGAATGGGAATGGCCTCATTGTACTGTCCTAAATTACAGTAAATTGTAGCTAAGACATGCAGGCACATGACCATATCTAAACTTGGTTTCCCATCTGCACAAATCTCGAATGATTTCAAAGCTCTAAGAGCCAAATCAAGAGCTTTTCGCGGATTCTCACCTGAGGAGATCATATCTCTTGTTTGCTTGAGCAAAAATGGTCCCAAGTCAGGATTATCTAACCCTGCAGCAATGCGCTCCTCAATCCCCTTCATACCAAGGTTTCTCCTATGCTTCCTCATGTGGTAAACACCATTTGCTTTTCTGACACCCTTTTCATTCCTCCTTGGAGTCGGCTTGGATGATCCTTCAATGACCCTTGTGGTTGGTGAAGATTGGTTATTATTAACCTTCTTTGAAGGTTCCTTGCCACAGGCCACAACATCTTTCTCAGGTGTTGTGCCACTAGCAGTGGCATTGAAGTCATCTTTGCTCTCCGTAACCACCACCTCCTTTGTAATCTCCAAATCCACAATATCTCCAACTAGATGGCCCAGTTCTGAATCAATCCTGGACTCACCATCATAGGAGTAGAAACTAGCCCTGGAGGGTGAGTGATCAGAGCTCCTCATTTCACACACATTGTGATACAATTGCTCAATTGAGGTATCCACCACCCCATCGATAGCCAAATCAATTGAATCACTCTGAATGCTTCTTGGACTCAGTGTACTCCTTGGTGATGCTTGTTGAGCAAAGTTATCCTTATGGGGATTATAACTCCCACTATGTTCCTCTGCTGCACTATTTACATTAAATTCATCCATAGCTAAACCAGGCATTGAATGAACCCAATAATCAGCACCTCACCTACAATTAATAAGACAAAGAAAGAAGAAAGTTACAAATTGTTCAAAACATGAAAACAAAACTAAAAGTTTGCAATGCAAAAATGCTTGGGGTCTCGTACAATATCAAGAGCCAATTTTCACTTTTCAGGTGCAGACCTCAAAGCCAATGATGAGTTCACGGGTGCTAATAATATTTCAATAAAAAGAACGCTCCTGTCTAAGAAGAAACAGAAACAAAAGTAAAAGGAAAATGAATCAAACTTTATAACCCATTACAGCAAACCAAAAAGAGAATAAAGAAAAGCCAAAAGCATCTAAATATATTCCATCTTGTTGATTGCGTGACACCGCTTCTTCCCAGATGCTGCATATGCACATCAAATCACAATTCACAACACAACACAAAAAACGTTTTCTGAAATTCCATTACTGTCAGTGATCAAACTCAGTACAATAAAAAGCAATGTGAAAGAATAAACACAATCAAGAATACAATACTTTGTTGAAAATAGCAGAAAGCAATGAAAATTCAGCACCAAACTTCTCATTGAGGAGAACATACACACAACAAAAGGGAGTCTCATGTGTCGTGTGTGATTTAAGGCATTTAATACAGGAACCAAATCAAACCAAACCAGAACCAAAGAAAAAAAACACAATTGAGACAATGAATAGGTGTTTGTGTTACTGTTACCTTCAGTCCTCTCCACAGAATATAAGCCAAAAGTTTCCAAACTCGCTTGTATGGGTGTTATGTTATGTACAGATGAAGAGATATGGGTCAACATAGCTGTACCATTTGTATTGGCATGCATTTATATATGTGCATGTGGGGTGTGGAACAAGAGGGGTGTCAGGTGATGGAATTTTGAGTACATGTGAAGGGTAAAATGGGAATTAGAGTTGAAATTATTGAGATTTTGTAGATAATATTATGCATCATGATGTGTAAGAGTTGTACTTGTTCCACAGAGTTGGAAGGTTGAAGCAAAACCAAGAAGGTGACCTCTCTCCCACTCTTTTCCCTTGATCTTCAACTGCTTTATTATTCTCATAAAAGAATTCATAATTTTTCAAAGTATCAATTAAGGATTTTGCCAGATAGATAGATATGACTGTTTAAACTAGTATTGGAACATGCATTGTTTATTATCAATTCTCAATCATGTATTAATTAATGATTGGTTTTTCTTAAGTGAAAAGAAATAGCTTAGTTAGCAGGATCCAGAGCCAAATTAGAAATGAAAAAAAAAAAAAATGAATCATTGTTCCTTGAGCCTAAATTGAACATCACGAGGTTTGGCATCAAAGTCAACTCTGTTATTGATCATATTGAGTAAATTCCCAATATTTATTGTAAGAATAAATGGTCAATAAATATTTGATTATTTACCTCCAGAAAAAATTAATAGATTCTTTATAACATAAAAATGTCTGGCACCATCAAGTTTATGAATCAAGAATAATGAAAAGTTTCTAACTTTAGCAGCTTTCAATTTTTTATTTTAAGAAAAAGATTGTTTGATTGACTTTTTTTTATTAGGCATGTGTTTTCTATTTTAAATTTTATCAGAATTTTCTTTTTTTCACAGAGATTTATTGTCCATGTTTCTTCATCATTAAAAAAATGAAAAAGAAATCACAAATGAAAATTTTTAATTTATTTTTGGGTTTTATAAAATGTCATTATTTGGAGTTGCAGTTGAAACGTAAGAAGCATAGGGTGGCGGGTTTAACGGCTTTTGGAAGCGAAAAGACCAGGGACAACGGGGAATGGTAAAGTCACTTAGCGGTGCCGTGTGACGGGGTGAAAGTTGGAGCGGAAAGTGACACGTGGCAAAAAGGAAAGCAATGATTGGTTGGTTTTGGATGAATGTGAGCGTCCACGTGTACCACATATCCAGCTGGTATCTAGTAAGTAGCGGTGATGGACCCCTCATACCAAGCCGCCAACGTGGGCCGGGCCTGGGCCCAATGGCCCACTTCCCAAAAGTTACATATTCCCTGACGAAAATGACTTTTTGTTTTTGTAATCCATCCAATTTGAATAGAACAAAAACGCATTATTATTAGAATTTAATTATTTTTATAAAATATTATTAATAAATTAATTTGTAGTAAAAAATATACAATGTGAATATTTTAGGTTAGAATTGGGGAAAATGTGGATTTTGGGTTGACAGGTAGATAACGTGTGTTTCTTTCTTTTAACAGAAAAACTCCGACAATTAAATAAAAAGATAAAATTCATAAAAAAAATAGATATTAAATTTATAAAATAATGACAATGAAGACATTAAAGCGTGAAACAAATTTTCATAGAAACAAATATCCACTATTTTATTTTTTATATATACTAATCTCAAATTTATTTTCTATAAATAAATTTAAATTATTGTAAAATATATAATATAATTGAATAAAAAAAAGAATTCCAGTTTATTTATTTTCACTTATATATTATTTATACAGATAAAAAAAGTAAATAGATTATATATTTAAAATCACTCGTTTAAAGTAAATTCGTTTTAAAATCATTTTATATTTAATAACAATATAAGAATATTAACTAAAAAAAAGTGAAGAGTCTTCGTTAAAAACTTTGCACAAAATACACATTAATTATTCAAATTATGGGTCCAAATCATACACTAAAATAGAAGTTCACCTCCAAATATACATGAATGACTAAACCACCTAATTCACTATATAAACATTATATTTCACTATGCTCCAAACCATATATTATAATAATAATAATAATAAAATAAAAAACCAAACATATAACAACCTTGTGTCTCAATTATATATATAAGAGTAGTTAATATGAAGAAAGAATAAATCATGCAAAGTCAAGGAACCGAATCAAGACAAATAAAAACATTAACACTGTTGGGGAAACACCAAACCTTGTAACTCTAATTTTTATTTATTTATTTATTTTAATAATAATATTTTAAAAATTAAAATAAATAGTTATTTTATTAAAAAAAAAGTAAACAAATCGACCCAAATCTAGTTGAAATCAAATTTAACTAAAAACAAGAAACCTAAATACATTCTAATAATTATTTTTATACTTTTTCTCCACACAACAATAACTCTCATATCTTTACACTAATTAGTGGATAAGAAACTAGTAATTAATTAAGAAAGAATTTTAAGTGGCCCCCTTAGGGTTATGGCACAGATAAGAACGTTAATTGAAGTTAAACAAAGACAAAGAGAACACCACCAGACATGAAAGGAATCTTGTGCTACTTTTTTATTATTATTATTTGATGGAAGTATTTTTGTTTTTGAAGGAGTTGTGATCTTAAAGAAATAAACAAGGATACGAAGAAGCAAAGACCTTGTTCTTGTTTCTGGTGATGCATAAGTAGGGAAGTAGACGTAGGATCCACCAATTCCATGATAGAGAATCTTAAAAATGATGCACCAACAAACAATCTTTCATTTCTTCTGCATTTTCAACCTAAAATTTTCTCCTCTGTGTTAATGGAGATGCTTCCTCCATAACCACTAGCAAACAACACTGTCCTCCCCTTACCTACTCAATTTTCTAAGACAAACTTAGCACTTTGAAACAAAAAAAGGATAATTAAAACATCTTCGTATATATATATATATATATATATATATATATATATATATATATATACTTGACCATCACCATCGTCAGTCAAAGTTCAAGACCTGTCATTGCAAAATGAACACTTCAATTTCAATTTGTTACAGAGAAATGGCAACCAATTTATTAGGTCATTTAAATATGAACATTTAGAGAAGGAAACTCAATGCATGATTGATTGATGACTACAAATATATATTTGTACCAACCCGTAATATAATTTCCAAAACTGAATATTTTAACCAGCCAAAAACATTTATGGGCCTTATGGCCCAACTAGGTCCATTTTAATTTCTTAGGCCTAGTATTTCTACAAGCTTACTTTTCTACGTGATTGGTATTTCACAAATTTTTCTTCCACCCGTTACTTTCTTTCACCGATATTTTATATTTATTTGAAAATACGATATTATTTGTAGACTCGTAAGTCTCCCGTTATTTAGAGTCAAGTCAATACTAATTTATATATTCTCTCTTCTTCTTTTTTAATTCACTGAAACATATTTTAAAAATAAAGTTATTATAGCTAAAATTTTAAAATAAACAATATATTAAATATGATAATTGGTTCTAATGACATTGTTACAATAGACAGGAGATTATATTCTTATTCCTAAATGAAATAACATCTTTTTAATTTATGAAAATTGGGATGGAGCCATTTTTTTATTGGGCCTAGTGTAAATATTGCGATGGAGTTATTTTGCTAAATATTGAGCACCCATCATAGTGAAACTTCAACTTGCATTTGAATTTTACCAAAACTTAATGAACATAGTAAACACTTAAAAAAGTTGATCACTGTCAACATTAACTATGTAATTACATGATGTGTTACGGTGAGGATATGGGATAAAGAACCACTTTTCCTGTGGCTCTTGAAGTTTCTAAGTAGGAAATGGCTTCAACAAGCTGAGAAAATGGAAGTGGAGTCTTGGGATCGAGTATTGGCTTGACTTGACCACTCTCAAAGTAAGGTCTTAATTTCTCCAAGATTGATCCTTTGGAGGTTAGCAGGAAGAAGATTGCTGGTGGATGTCCAGGTGGAACTATTGTCACCACCTTTCCACCTTCTTTAATGGCCTTAAAGGCTCTATCTCCTTGCCCAACTGCATCATACACAAGATCATATTTTTGTGGAAGATCTTCGAAGTTGTCTTTTGTGTAATCAATGGGCAAGTCAACTCCCAAGTCCCTCAAAAGTTGAAGTTTGGCAGTGCTAGCAGTTGCTGCTATCTTAGATGCCTTGTAAACATGTCTCGCAAGCTGCACTTAAACACTTCAACTTACCAATTACTATATGTGCAAAAAGTACAACAAGTGTCATAAAAAAAATGATAACAAAATCTTTTTGAACTTTTAATTTCTGCATATATTTTGTAGCAATATATGTGAAGATTTACCTGAATGGCATAGCTTCCAACTCCACCAGCTCCTCCCAAAACAAGGATAGATTTGCCACCAGAAAACTGAGCATGCTCAAAACCTTCATTCGCAGTTTCTGTAGACAAATAAGTATCTAAATAAAACACTCTGTATATTATCACTTGATATGTTTGCAATGAGTGATGCATGATCAATTTATAGGCCCTTTGGATATGGCCTCTCAACTACATGCATTTAATACAACAACTACCTTTCAACTACATACATTCAATACAACAACTACCTCTCAACTACTACCTCTATAATCACTACCTCTCAACTACATGCATTTAATGTTTACCTAACAAAATCCCCCCATAAACTTAAATGCTTTTTTTTTTGTCCTTCATTCCAAGCATCTTCTTGTTGTTCTCGAACAGAGTGGTTGACAGTGGCTTCGTGAACATATCTGCAGCTTGTGTTCGGGTTCTGACGTGCTCTAACTCCACATTTCCTTCTTTCACTTGTTCTCGGATGAAGTGAAACCGAACATCAATATGTTTGCTTCTCTCATGATTGACCGGATTCTTTGCCAATTCAATGACCGACTTGTTATCAACTCGAATCACAGTCCCTCTTTCTTGCTTCAACTCCAGCTTGCTTAGAAGGTTTCTAAGCCAAACTGCATGACAGACACTCCAGGATGCTGTAACGTACTCGGCTTCACAAGTTGACAACGTTACAATGGGCTGCTTTTTTGAAAGCCAGGTGAATGCTGTGTTTCCCATGAAGAATACATATCCAGACGTGCTTTTCCGATCATCAACATCTCCACACCGAGTCACTTATCCAGAGTAACCTACTAGTCGATAATCATCCGATCCTAATATACATTAGGCCAAGTGACACTTGTTCCTCTCACATACCTTAGAATTCTCTTTAGTGCCTTCCAATGAGTATACCTTGGCTCCTCCATATATCGACTTGTTATTCCAACACTTAGCATTAAATGCAGTCGCGGTATTTGTAAGATACCTAAGACTTCCAATCGGACTTCGGTATTTGCTCGCATCAACTCGGTCTCCATCCGCATACTTAGAAAGTTTTGTACCGGGTTCCATAGGGGTGGAAAGCTGGGTTGCAACTTGTCATCTTAAACTTTTTCAAGATCTCCTCGGCATACCTTTCTGCGACACAAAGATGTCATCCTTTCCACTGAACAACTTCTAAGCCAAGAAAATACTTCATAAGACCCAAGTCGAGTCATCTCAAACTCCTTCTTCATCACTTCTTTAAACTCTTCAATTAGCTCGACATTATTCCCCATGAAGATAAGATCATCAACATATAGGGCAACAAACATCACATCTTCACCTTTCTTCTTTATGTATAGAGCATGTTCATAAGGACACTGCTCATATCCATTCCTTTTGAAGTAAGTGTCAATTTTTTCATTCCATGCTCGTGGAGCTTGTTTCAAGCCATAAATTGCCTTCTTTAATCTCAGCACTTTCTTTTCTTCTCCTCTTCGCATGTATCCGAGTGGCTGTTCAACATATACTTTCTCCTCCAAGATTCCATTCAGAAATGACGACTTCACGTCCATCTGCAAGATTGTCCATCTGTGTTGAGCTGCTAAGGAAATCAACAACCTAATTGTTTCCATTCTCGTCACTGGGGCGAATACTTCGTCATAGTCTATTCCTTCTTTCTACTTGTACCCCTTCACTACGAGTCGAGCTTTATATCGCTTAACTTCTCCTTCAGCATTTGTTTTTTTCTTGTACACCCACTTTACGCCGATAGGTCGTGCTCCTTTGGGCAAATCAGTTAGCTCCCATGTGTTGTTGCGTTCTATTGCTCCGATCTCCTCGTCCATTGCCTTTCTCCACCTTTTCTCCCTGCACGGCCTCTTCAAAACTTAAGTCTTCGAATACGCCAAGAGACATACAACATGCACTTCGTCGGTGGAGTTGTATATATCTTGTAAACTTCGCGCTACGGGTCGTAGAGGTTCATCTTCTTCATCGAAGTCTCATGATCTCTCACGGTATGTGGTGTATCAACTTCCGAGTTTCTACTTCCTATGGACTCCTTCTCTGGGTTGTTCCAACTCCACTCGCTTTCTTCATCAATTTGAACATCTCGGCTCATGATGACCTTCTTAGTTATTGGGTTAAACAACCTGTATGCCTTGGTTTTTTCATCATACCCAATAAACACGTACTTTTTGCTTCTATCTTCGAGTTTGGTCCTCTGTTGAGCTGGAACATGACCATAAGTTATGCTACCGAACACTTTAAGGTGAGACACACTCGGTTTTCTTCCACTCCAAACTTCTTGCGGTGTCTTCTCATTCAGCTTAGCATGTGGACATCTATTTTGTACATAGATGGCACATTGCATTGCTTCTGCCCAGAACTCCTTTGGCACGTTTTTGTTTCTCAACATTGTTCGACCATGTCAAGAATGGTTCGATTCTTCCTCTCGGCAACTCCGTTTTGTTGGGGTGAGTATGGTGCTGTCAGAAATCTCCTTATCCCTTGCTCCTCGCAATACTTCATGAGTTCGGATGAAATGAACTCGCCTCCACGATCAGACCTAACAGATTTGATAGGCATGCCAGTCTCTTTCTCAACCATTGCTTTAAATCTCTTGAACACCTCAAACACCTCGGATTTCTCCTTCAAAAAATATACCTAGGTTTTTCTTGAAAAATCATCTATAAAAGAAATGAAATACCTTTTCCCACTGAAGGACTCAGGGGTAATCGGTCCACAAATATCTGTGTGAATCAATCCGAGTTGTTCCTTTGCACGGTACTCGGCCGTCCTCAGAAATGAGGTCCTCAGATGTTTCCCGAGCACACACTCTTCACATAATTTCTTTTCAAATTTCATTGACGGGAGTCCTCGCACCATCTCTTTCTTTACCAACTCGGTCAGTCCGCCAAAATGCAAGTGGCCAAATCGAAAGTGTCACATCATTGCTTCATCCTTCACGTCAAGTTTCAAGCACCTCTCTTGGACTATCTTCAAGTCCAACTTGTACATTCTGTTCTTCTTCATTTCTACTCGGGCAATCAAACGATCTGACTTGTCCTTCAGGTATAGTACTCGGTCTTTCATCAGAACCGAGTAGCCTTTCTCCATCAGCTGACCCATACTCAATATGTTGCTTTTGAGATCGGGTACATAGTACATGTCTTTGATTTCTCCAATTCGGCTATTCTTCTGTAGGTACCAGATTGTACCTCTGCCTTTTACTGCCACCTTTAATGCATATCCAAATGACACGTGTCCGACCTCAACTTTAGTGAGCTCCTTAAAAAGGTTTTCGTCCCCGCACATGTGGTTACTTGCTCCTGTATCAAGATACCAAACCGAGTTGTCAGAACAGCTCGGACTTAGCTCGACATCCGAACTTCTTGACATCATCAATATTCCTTCTTCCTCAGTGTCCTCAGAGAGGAGGTTTGTCTCCTTCTTCCTCTCAGATCGGCAGTCCTTCGCGAAATGCCCAACCTTCCCACAATTATAACATTTGATACCTGAATAACAGTCCTTAGCAAAATGACCGTACTTCCCACATTTGAAGCACTCAACTCTGGAATTACTTGACTGACCACCTCGGCCTCTACCGTCACGACCTCTACCTTGTCTTCGGCCACGCCAGTTTTGTTGACTGACTGGCTCCTTGCCTCTTTCATATTCTCCTCTACCTCTACCACCCCGGCCTTGAGTGTTCTGAGCATAAGGAACCTTCTTTTCCTTTAAGGTTGCCTTTGCTTGGAGTGCTTGATCAAGGGACTCCTCTTTCTTCTTCCTTCTCCGCTGCTCATGCGCTTCAAGTGACCCGACAAGCTCTTCCACTGAGAGCACCGACAAGTCCTTGAACTCTTCTATTGCACAAACGATATTCTCAAAATCGTCAGTTAACGACCTTAAGATTTTCTGCACCACTCGGCAAGTGGGCAGCGTCTCTCCATTTCTTCCGAGTTGATTCACCACGGTTTCAACACGGGAGATGTACTCGGCAACCCCTTCGACCTCTTTCATCCTCATGCTTTCAAGCTCGCCTCTAAGAGTTTGAAGTCTGACTTGCTTCACGCGATTATCCCCTTTATATGCCTTCTCCAGAATATCCCACTTCTTTTGAAGATTTAGCATTTGCTATCTTCTCAAAGCCGGACTCATCAACAGCTCGATACAGTACGTACAAAGTCGTTTTGTCCTTTACTCGTGTTGCTCTCAATGCAGCAAGTTGAGCAATCGTCTGCTTTTCAATATTCTCTGGTTCTTGGTGCCCATTTTCGACCACATCACATACTTCTTGGGAACCAAGGAGAGCCTTCATTTTGCAGGCTTCAGTTATCATAGCTTACGCCTTTTGATAACTTTGGTAGGGGCATGTTGTTAGCTAAGTTGGCCATCTCAAACAAACTCTCTAACTCTCAAACACTCTCTCTAACGCACTCAGACACTCAGGCTCTCAAGCTATGATGCCAATTTGTAGACAAACAAGTATCTAAATAAAACACTCTGTATATTATCACTTGATATGTTTACAATGAGTGATGCATGGTCAATTTATAGGCCCTTTGGATATGGCCTCTCAACTACATGCATTTAATACAACTACTACCTTTCAACTACATACATTCAATACAACAACTACCTCTCAACTACTACCTCTATAACCACTACCTCTCAACTACATGTATTTAATGTTTACCTAACAGTTCAAGTGCTAAAGGAATGCTTGCAGCTTCAATGAAGCTTAGATTCGATGGTTTATGAGCCAATAATCTCTCTTCTGCAACAGTATACTCTAACAAAGTCCCAAGAATCTTAGGATTCGACAACCCATGCTCATTGATGTCACCATATACTTCATCCCCAACACTAAATTTCCTTACTTCTCCTCCCACTTTTACCACTATGCCAGCAACAACATAACCAGGCACAACCTTCTCACACCATTAAAACAAAGAATAAATAGATTGAGATTCTAGTTAATTTTAATTTTAGAAACTTGTATAAGGATGACCCAAATGAGAGTTTATACTCAGATAAAAAACAAAAGATAGATAGAGATGTATGTACATACAGGTAGATGAGGGTCAGTGTCCTTGAACTCCCCATGCATCCTCTTGTAATCAACTGGATTAAGGGATACTGCAATGACCTTGATGAGCACTTGATCATCTTTGAGTTGTGGTAAGGGCCAATTAGGGTCAAACTTTAGAACATCAGCTGGTCTACCATGTTCAGAGTAATACCAAGCTTTTGTGTGGGTTGGAATACTAGAATCAGTGCTTGATGCATCTTCTGCCATTTCAGATCTTTGTGGTGCTTAATTCTTCGAGATTTAGGTTATTAGGAAGAGATTAAGAGAATCAGGACACATGAAGATGAATCGCACAAAGGCAATTATTTATAGGCTCTAGTTTGAAGGAAAATTAAGATCTTACACTACAAGAAATTTTGATATTACTGACGGTCAAAATCCGTCGGTAATTACCGACGGATATATCCGTCGCTAAATGTTTGACGAAATTAGGCTTCAATTATTATCAGATTAAGAGAATTGTCATTAGCGATTCGAACCAGTACCTTAGAGTTAGAGGCTGATACTCCAACCACTAAGCTACCGGATTTTTTCGATAATAATTTACAAATAAATTATATTTATATACAAATATATTTATATACAAATATATTTATATATTTTAATATATTTATATATATTTATATATATTTATATATTTATATATTTATATATTTATATATTTATATATTTATATATTTATATATTTATATATTTATATATTTATATATTTATATATTTATATATTTATATATTTATATATTTATATATTTATATATTTATATATTTATATATTTATATATTTATATATTTATATATTTATATATTTATATATTTATATATTTATATATTTATATATTTATATTTTTATATATTTATATTTTTATATATTTATATATTTATATATTTATATTTTTTTATATTTATATATTTATATATTTATATTTATATATATATATATATATATATATATATATATATATATATATATATATATATATATATATATATATATATATATATATTTATATATTTATATATATATATATATTTTATATATATATATATTTATATATTTATATACAATTAAATATTTTTATATGTTTTTATATATTTTTATACAATTAAATATTTATTTTTTAAAATTATTTAATTTAAGAAATTATTATAAATTAATCTAATTTTGATTAAATGAAATTATTAAATAAAAAATATTAAATTTTTTTAATTAGTTGAATATTTACTAATTGATAATTTACAGACGGAAATATCCGTCGGTAATTGATGAATGAATTTACCGACGGATATATCCGTCGGTAAATCCATCATTTACCGACCGGATATATCCGTCGGTAAATTCATCTGTCAATTACCGACGGATATATCCGTCGGTAAGATCAAATTCCACAAATATTTTATATTCGTCGGTAATTTTCGTTGGTAATAATTATTTTCCGACGAATACAAATCCGTCGGTAAATATCCGATCGGTAATACGCGATTTTCTTGTAGTGTTATATATATATATACATATACATATATATACATATATATATATATATATATGTATATATACATATATATATATATATATATATATATATATATATATATATATATATAAAAGCTGATAATCTAATATAAATTTAAAATATAATTCTCACCCTTTCAATCCAAGTTCACCAAATTAATTAATATTGTCTCTTGTATTTGAAATTTTGTGATTGTCTTAATACTAATAATTACATCAGCTAGCTTTCTGCTTACATTATTAGTATTTTTGTAATCATTACATCAGATGATCATATTTTAGTTAATTTAATATATGGCCGGATAAAGGGATTTCCTAATCTTTACCTAACCCATTTTTAATATAATAATAATACCACTAAAACTTGATTATATTATTTTAATTATTAAAAATTCTTTAATTTGTTAAAATTTCATACACTAAACATTCTTTACATTGTAATAAAAATAATATTAACGTTCATCAATTAATTAATAAAATAAATTTTATATTATTTATAAATATTTTTAAGATATAAAGATTTGTAATTTATTCAATGAGATTATGTAAAGTAGGCATGGCAATGATATCGGATGAGTTTTACTTTTCCGATTTCGAGTTTCTAACTTGTCTTGGGTTAAAAAATTAAGTCATGTCGTAGTTTTTAGTTTTATATATATTATTTATATATATGTTTGATATTTTTTATCTCTTTAATTGTTTATAAGTTAAAATTTAATATTATTGATTATAAATAATTTATTATATCAATTAATGGAAAATTTGACATTAAAAAATATTTTTATATCAATTAATTATTTATTTTATATTATATGTTTTCACGAAACAACCATAATAGAATATTATGTATAAAATAGTGGGTATAAGTTTTCAAATGTTAATTAAAATTTGATTTTGAAAAAGTGGGTATAAGTTTTCATAAATTAATTTATATATAAAGTGATTTTAACTTATAAAAATTTTATATAAAGAGAACCAGATCAGAACATGTCTTATTTCAACATTGCCCCTTGAATTATAATATTCTCATACATTTGTTGCTAATCTCTGTTCTTCAACAGCTATACAAGATGTAGAAAAATTACATGAAACATAGTAAAGGACACTGTTTGACACAAACATCAACTATTGCAAACACACACACGCGGTATAAATCAACTGGGTATGGGATAAACAACCACTTTTCCTGTGGCTCTTGAAGTTTCTATGTAGGAAATGGCTTGAATAAGCTGAGAAAATGGCACTGGAGTGTTTGGATCAAGTAATGGCTTCACTTGACCATTCTCAAAGTAAGGTCTTAACTTGTCTAAAATAGAGCCTTTAGAAGTGAGTACAAAGAAAATGACTGGTGGAAGTCCAGGAGGTACTATTGTCACAGCTTTGCCACCTTCCTTCACTGCCTTCAGGGCTCTATCAGGCTCTCCTGTGTTTCATGTTTTCATCATCAGAATTTATCAGAAAAACTTTCTTGTTAAATATATTTTGGTTTAAAGCACTCACCTATGGTGTCGTACACTACATCGAACTTCTCTGTTAAGTCTTCAATCTTCTCCTTTGTATAATCAATTGCCCAATCAGCTCCCAACTTCTTTAGAAGTTCCAATTTTTCAGTGCTAGAAGTTGCTGCTATCTTTGATGCGCCATAAACATGCTTCGCAAGCTACATACATTGCAAAATTATCTTATGACATCTGCTATATCTTTTATACCAAATTATAATTGGTGTGTACTAATTATATAAATAATTTCCGTTTGATTTCACATATATGCATACATACCTGAATAACAAAGTGACCAACTCCACCAGCTCCTCCCACAACAAGGATAGATTTTCCAGCAGAAAACTGTGCTCGTTCAAGGCCTTCATAAGCAGTTTCTATTGCTGCAGGAATCGCAGCAGCTTCAATGAAGCTTAGATTTGGTGGCTTCAGAGCTAATAGTCTCTCTTCTGCAATAGTATACTCAGACAATGTTCCAAGGGCCTTTAGGTTTGTTACTCCTTCTTCGTTTATATCACCATATACTTCATCACCAACCTTCACTTTAGTCACTTCTCTTCCCACACTCACCACCACACCAGCAACATCAAACCCAGGAACAGTCTTCTCAACCCATACAATTCAAAACAATGTTATATTTCTGTAATGCCAATTTTGAATTTAGCACATTTAACATAAGTAGAAGTTAGACTATACATACAGGCAAATGAGGGTCATAGTTCTTGTACAAGCCGTTCATCCTCTTGTAATCAATGGGATTAAGGGATGCTGCGATGACCTTGATGAGGACTTGGTCATCTTTGAGTTGTGGTAATGGCCAATTAGGATCTAATTTAAGAACATCATCTGCGTTACCATGTTGAGAGTAGTACCAAGCTTTTGTGTGGGTTGGAACAAGAGGATCAGTGCTTGCTGCATCTTCTGCCATATTGGATCGTTGTGGCGATTTTTTATGGCTATATATAAATTAAGAAGATAGATGGAGATGAAGTGCATAAAAGCAAATATTTATAGGCTCTAGTTTGATGGAAAATCAGCATTGGGATTTCATCTTGTAAAGTTTTGTTTGATTTCCTCGTTGCATGTTTCATTTCTTAATTACCTTGTAGGGTAACCTTTGCTCATACGCTTTCAAATTTTCTGCAAATACTTCAAGTTCTCTATCCTTTGAAATCTTCTGTCTCTCTTAAAGTAATAATTAAGTTATCAATTATCCACGCAAATATTATAAACTCGCGATTGAATCAAGAAATATGAGTTTGGTTTTGTTCAGAATAAGCAACATTTCTTTTTAATCTTTACATATATTTCTATTGGATGATCATATTTAGTGTTTTTTTTTTTTTAAGTATAGAAAAAAAAAAAACTAATCTTTTTTAGTACCTATCATGCATGATAACTAACTACCTACCCTAACTATTATATGTTTCGTTCTGCACGTCATTCATGATGTGTTTTTGCATTCAATTTTTTAATTATTCATCTCGTAAGAAACTAATGACTAACTTTAAGTTGAAATCACCTATTCGTTGAATAGATTATTCAAAGCAACAATATTTTAGGGTTTATATAATAAGTTTATAGATGACATATATTTGGTTCTGCATGTGTCATGCATGACGTGCACCATTTTTGTTTTGCTTTAATTAGTGGGTTTTGCTTTCTATAATTTTATTTGTTCGCATTTAGATTTTTTTTATTTAAAGTTATATTCAACAAAGAATAAAAATATAATAAACTTGTTATGAATTATTAATTAAATTAGAAAAAAACATATAAATTATTTTAAAAGTGAAATATGGCAAAATACTTTCAATTTTTTTATTATATATTTTTTTGCATGTAAATTAAGCTTTTACAATAGTTTCAGTTAATAACGTTACAACATTCCAACGTTGATTTTCGATAATACAATGTTATCTACTGATTTTTTTATTTAATTTTTTTTTTTACCTTAAAAGCCCATGTCAAAGGAATGATTAAGGGAGGGACATAGCATCATGAACATTGCCAGCAAATCATCTACATACATGCTGAAAAATTAATGATTAAAAAGAAAGTCAAAATTGCATTAGAAAATAATAAAAGAAAGTAAAAGAGAAAGAGAAGTGGTGATATATATTACTTTAAAGATTTTTTACTAGAGATGATGTAAATTCTCTAATATGATAATTCTATAATTTGTTAATGAAAAGAACTTTCTTATATTTATCTTTTGTGAGATCCAATAATTTGTCCATATCAATTTGTTTATTTATGTCTCTGTAAATTACGGTTAACTTACGAACGAATAAAAAATTATACAAAACAGTTTTTATAAATTAATTTTAATTTTTGAAGAGATTCATTTCATTCTCTCTTATTGTTTTTTCTCAAGTAAAAAAAAAAAAAAAGAGGAGTTGATCTGAACATGTTCGACATTTACATAATTTCATGAACACAACAATCCTCAATATATAAGTCAGTTTATGTTTTCCCAAGCTTGTATGATGTTCCACGTTTACATAATTTCATTATAACACAAGAAGAATATTGAACAATACATATATATCAAATTGCAACCAAAACACAACCAAAGTATCTTACTGTCACAACCACAATTCTGAGAAATTTATCACCAATTTATACATTTTCTGACAAACCTTTTTAGAGTTCAGTTTATTTTTACAGTAATTTGGTGCAGTTCATGTATTTTGTCCACTCTTACCCTTATGGGATAGGATGTATGACTACTTTTCCAATGGCTCTATTAGTCTTCAAGTGTGCAAATGCCTCCACAGTCTGAGAAAACAAAAAGGGACTCTTAGGATCCAGTAATGGCTTCACCTTCCCACTCTCTAAGTAAGGATGCAGTTTCTCCAACACACTACCATCTGAAATGCGTCTTAAGAAGATAGCTTCAGGATTTCCATATGCTGCTATTGTCACAACTTTGCCACTTTCTTTAACAGCCTTCAATGCTCCCTCAATCTCACTATGTCCTGTTTTTGGAATCATTCATGTACAATTTTTCAATAATATTATAATATAGAATGTGATACACATGCAGCAAGAAAGATAAATAGAAAGAAAACTAACTAACTTCATGTAAACCAAGTAATATAGGTTCAGTTTCAATGTCTCACCTACAGTATCATACACTACATCAAACTTTTCTTCCAACTCTGCAACATTCTCCTTTGTGTAATCAATAGCTAAGTCTGCTCCCAAGTCCCTTAACAAATCTAGTTTTGCAGTACTGGCTGTGGCTGCAACCTTTGATGCCTTAAAAACGTGCTTGGCTACCTACATCATTAAACAAATACACAACAAATCATCGAACAACCTTGGTCAAGTTTTTAGTTCTCTGTTCAAAGGGAAAGTTGTGGTCTATTCTATTTGAGATCTTATTTGGCATGCTCCGGAGTGATTTATTTGGATGGTTGAGAAATCTCACTAAAATATCATAATATTATAGTATATAAATGAATATAAATCAATTTTATAGAACTAAGTAAGATACTTCACTATTTTTAAGATGGTATCAGATAACTCTAACTTTACTAGGACTAACCGTTAACAACCTGACCAATACTAAATCACTCATCATCAATACAAGAAAGTGGGTTGAGAAATTTCATGTCAACTAGAGATGTATAATAATATTATTATAATATATATAAGTACAATCTTTGTCTTGTTGAATCATATTTGTAGGGTTGAGTTAGACATGTTACCATTTTTAAGATGGATAATGCGCAATGATATTTGTTTTATTTCATTGGATTTTGGACTTCATCAAGGTTAAATTGAAGAAGCTTTCTTTTAGATATGCAAGACTGTTATAGATGGTTAAAGTTTTTACAAAATAAGACTAAGAAATTAAACAATTAACACCACTTGGAAAACCAATAGAGATAGAAAATATCAAACCTGAATAACAAGGGATCCAACTCCACCAGCACCTCCAAGAACAAGTATAGATTTGCCAGCAGAAAACTCAACCCTTTCAAGTCCTTGATAAGCAGTGATGATGGCTAAAGGAAGGGCAGCAGCTTCAATAAAGTTCAAATTGGAGGGTTTGTGAGCCAATACTTTTTCTTCAACAGCAGTATACTCTGCCAAAGATCCAATAGTTTTTGGATTGTTCAGAGGATCCTGATTGATGTCACCATAAACCTCATCACCAACCTTGAATTTTTTCACTTGACTTCCCACTCTCACCACCACACCAGCAACATCATACCCCGGAACTGTCTTAATTTCCAGCACCAAATACAAGATTAAACAATGAAAATAAGCAAACTTACATTTTAAGATGGCACAAAAAGAAAATCCTGCCTGCAATAGCTATTTTGACCCAAAAACAAGGTTGTCAAAAAAATTTCACAATATTCAAGATCGCCATAAAACTGTGATCGTGGCTGCAGTTTAAAACCATGCATGCAATTACAAAAAGATAAAATCATATTCTTACAGGTAAGGGAGAATCAATGCTCTTGAAGGAGCCAAGAGCCCTCTTATAATCTATAGGATTAAGAGCTGCAGCCACAACCTTGATGAGGACTTGATCTTCCTTGGTGTCTGGTATAGGTATGTTAGATTCTAAGATTAGAATCTCTTCTGTGTTTCCATATTCAAAGTAAACCCAAGCTTTTATGTGTGATGGAATGCTAGGAGAACTTTCCATGATGCGCGTGGTTTGAAGGGAAAAGAGTACGAGGATATGTGAGAGTTCCTAGGTTGTAGTTAAACTCAGTGGTGTGGATGTTGTGATGATGAAAACCAACCATTCATTTATATAGAGAAAATATGTCACCACTTTACTAGCTTCTTGTTGGTCAGTGGCCATTAATTTTCTTCCAAACTTAGCAAGAGTTCATGAATCATGATGACGATTTTCTGTCACGGTTCATGATGTTATGTCTCATTAAATGATGGGAAAAATTTAATGAGAGAGAACGATGGTTGATCATTGATGTTGTATCTGGATTGATTTAAGGCTTTATACATCAAGAAAAAAAAAAGATTTAAGTATCTTCATATCCACGTAAAATTATGGAGTCGTTTTTTTCTTCTTTTTCTATAATAAAAGTAATATTAATATAGTTGTAATTTTGAATACGTACAAAATACATAATCTCTTTTAATATAATTTATTCTATATTAATGATATCATAAAAATTCTCCACCACAAGTTACTACAAATTTTAACTGTGAATGTGAAGAAAAACACTAACAAAAATAATAATAATAATAATAATAATAATAATAATAATAATAATAATAATAATAATAGACAAAGTATAATACTTTCGTATGGATTTTAATTAATCATATTACTTTATTTTAAAAATAAAACTTTAACAACTATGATAAATTTATTAAATATCAATTAATTTAAGGAAAAAAATATTCATTATATTAATTAAGTTAGAAACTAGTTTTATTAAAATTAGAGACATTTAGATTTTGTTCAATAATAGTATTAATTTAGATTTCAATTCAAAAATCAATATAAGTAAAATAGTTTTAATTTAATCAATATAATGACTTTTTTTCCCCTCTAAAATAGTGTATATTTAAATATCTTAACTGTGTTATTAAACTAAATGGACTGAATTATAGATCTTTAACACAAAGGGATAACAAAAAAAAATGTAATTTATTGTAGTTGTATTAAGTTTAAATTAATTGAACTATATGTTTCAATATATCAATGAATGAAAAATTGTAATACACAAGGAAATAAATATAATTAGTTAAAAAAAAAAAGTATACCAAAAAACGCTAAATTTGGACTATATTTTTACACCAAATTTCAATATTTCACATAGTTTCCATGGAATAGATTTTATAAAGTTAATTTCAGCTAAAAAATTAGTTTTAAAATGATATAATTTTTATTTAAATGTTTTTATTCTAAAAGTAAGTTAAAAGTATACTTCAGTATAAGCCTTTTTTTAATCAGCAAAAGCTATTTAAAGTTGGTTAAATTCGTAATCAAATCTCAAAATTAAAATCAAATACATGAACATTAACTTTAAATCACGTTAGCTAATACTTAATAACGTGATTATGATGAAACAATCAACTTAAAAGCAAACACCTAAAACGAGATTATAAAAGATTCAACTTAAAACCAAACACTTGCAATTGCAATGATGAATAGTGTACGAAGAACTTGTGTATTCCTCTTTGTCTCCCATGTATAAAACTGAAACATGGCAGTAAAATCTCATTTTCTACATAAGCCAGAAGGAAGAACACATCACACCATAACGAACCTTGTTTGTGAAAATTAGAGCACTTGATAATCCAGAAATGATAAAATGTCATCAGTGTTCAGACTTGACACAGTACATGATAATATAGATAGATAGAGGAAGAGTGTTGCAGATATAGATGAACTAGTTGAATCTAGAAAAAATGAAAGCAGAAAGAACAGAAGAAGATGCAAAGGCCACACACGCAACGAAGGACAAAGCAACAGAGGCCTTGGCAATTTCCACAGACTTGTCTGCACCTAAAATACTGTTTGACCAATAATGTGCTGTGGTGGCAGCTGAAGATGATGCTGACATTAGAAGATATGCCATCACCTGAAGTTAATTACAACCCATCAAACACCTTGCTTAGTATGTGAGATATATATATATATATATATATGCATGAATTAGGAATAAACTCTGATTCTGATTAAAAATATGATCTTTTCCCTTACAGAATTGTGGGTAGGTTGGACCAAAATCCAATTACTGATAGATGAATAAGTGAATGAAAATCCCTGAAGAGTGAGTTAATTTACCTGATCCATAGCAAAGTTGAGGTAACAACGTAGTTTAGGTTTCATCATGTGTCTCTTAGTAATGAAGTACTTGACTAGAACAAATATTTGGAATCCAGAATACACAAATCCAAGCACATTTACTGACAAGCAGTACCTGCATAATCACACCCTAAGCATTAGCAACAGCTTCACAAATGCCACTTGCACCAACAGAAGCAATAATGTAAAATTATATGAAAAATTTCATTCGATAGGCTCAAAAGCCCTATTATTTGATGTCGGAAAAGTTGATTCAGCATCCAAAATCGATGCCAAATGAAGCAATTTTAAGTAGATTTTGTGTTGGATAAAGTTTTACTACACTAATTTGTCTTTATATAATAAAAACAACCAAACATATGTCACTTCAAAATCAATTTCATTAATGCTCACCCAAAAACAAATGCAGTAGATAATGAAAAATAAAGATGGCGTCTTTGTATCATAACTAACGGTAGAGATTAAGTGCAACTTACTTGAATTCCTCAAAGTTATACCAATGCGGTTCAGAGTCTTCTTCAAATGATGATTCTGAGTAATCATCATACCATCTGTTTGGTGATTCTCTACGCACTTTTTTCTTTCTATCAGAAGCCAACACAGCGAATGCTATCTTGCAAAACACAAAAGCAACAATTCTCAGAATCAACAGAACAATATACCACTTCTTACCCTCTTTCTTGGACACTCCATCATCATCATCATCTCGTGTCCCTTCTTCTTCAACATTTCCCACATCCATCACTGCCACCACACTCTTGTTATTCACTTCCTCCTTCAAGACCTTGATGGCACCATCACTGATGGAGTGAGAGTGGCTAGCAGCCACCATCTGATGAAGGTCCCCTTCGCTGAAAGAGTGGTGGCTGTGAGAGTTGTTGAATGACTCTTGAAGGGTTGGAGCTGAAGGAGGTTTTGAAATTGGGTGGTGGTGGTAGTGTTTTTGTTCTTTCTTCTTTGAAGGTTTTAGTTCTTCTTCTTCTGTGTTCTCTGTGTGCTTTTTCATCATGTCACCTTTCTTTTCCTGAAACGGGGTTTCACTTTTGGTTGTGGTCATGATGAATGAGTGATCAATTGCTTTTGGGATTAATTAGATGCACCAGTTTCTTAAATATATTAGTTTGTGAATATTGATTGATAATTTTTTTAGGAATATTTTTTTAGAAGTAATTAAATGTAACTTATTTTATAATTTTACTTGTTATATACGTAGGTTTTAGTGAAACTAATTAAGGGAGCAAAGTGTAATGCATTTTCCCTTACAATCTAGAAGACATGAATAATATTGAATAGGGGTTATTACTAATCACCAGTTACAATTAGGTTTTCTGATCTGACCTTTAGAATAAGTGAAATTACATAAAAGCAAAGCATGAAATTTTGAATAAAATATAGATCATGTGAGCTTCTGATTCATATGTAACACCACATAATCACACTGATAATTATTGGTTAATTAACTTAAGCCGGCCTTTAATTAAATCATCCATTAAAATGTTATTTGTGCCTTTAACAACAAGTTAAGTAAAGAATAATGATATTTATCTTTTCCTTTTCTTTTTCATATTCTTTAAATCAAACAACATTTTCCCAAAGACATACATTATTTACACATTTTTAACATATTTTTATCAATTAAAATTCAAGTTACGTTTGATAGATATATTCCACAATGGTGGTAATAATATCGATAACAAAAAGGACATAAGAATGAAAAAAAATTATTTTGAAAACAAGGGTCACTTTAAGAATTACAAATAAGAGTTCATTTTTATTATAGAATAAAATTGGATCATGAAATTGAAATTTCAGCTCCAAAAAAAATTAAATATCATATTTAAAATTTTGATATTCATTTTCACATATCTTAATTTCATGTCCAATTCCTTGTGCTTAAGGTGCACTAATTATTGCAGAGGTTTCTACAATGACTATAGGTCATAAGTGAAGAGCCAAAATCAGCCATTTGACATTGATGACTCATGAAGTTAACGAAGTGTGATTGAGAAATGTGTAATTTTTTTCAATCGTGGCTTTTCTTCTGCTGCAAACTGTGAAAGTTTCAAGCTCATGGTTTCTACCAAAAGTTTGTTTATTGTTTGATTATAAACAACATTTTCTAGCAACCTATACAAGTCACAAGCAAGGGACCAAATTTGTTGTTTATGCGCTGAACTCCATAAGGCTGAACCACACTAATACAACTATGTTAAGGCTAAAATTTTGAAAATATTTGACCTTAAGTAATCATTGATCTTATTGTAAGTTCAATATTTAAGGTAAAATATGTTTTTTATCTATCTAAAACTTTTAAATATTTGTTTTTTATTCCTCTAAGTTTTTTAATATATTTTGGTTCCTTCAAAATTTAAAAAGAAAATGCATTATCTAGTTTGATAGAGTTGAACTCCATTATTGAGAAAGCTCACGTGGAATTGAGTGTCTGAATAAGCTTCTTCTTTTTTTTTTTCTCAAGGTGTAGTTTGAGTAACATTTGCTTATTATTTGTTGAACAACTTTTTTTTGGAGTGAAGTTGATAAAATGGAAACTGCATCATCACAACCTGGAAGAAGATATGGAAGTGTGAGATCTGGTGCATCTTCATCAAGGACGAGATGTGGTTGTAGAGAAAAAGTAGTGTTGCTGACATCTAGAAGCGCCAGAAATCCTGGTAGGAAATTTTTGCAGATGTCAATTTTTTTAGTGGATTGATGGTGATGTGATGTGAGTGTGGAAGATGGAAGCCAACGAGTAGTGCTGGAGTTAGAGCAAGAAGTGAAGGAGGCACGACGAAAGATAGCCAAACTGAAGAAGAGATTGTGTGGCTCACAAAGAAATACATTTTTGTTGATGAGTGTTTTGGTTATGTGTTGGTCAATGTTAGGGATAATGGTTGTGATATTTGGTTATTGTTGTTGTGTTTTTCATTACTTTTAAAAGTTTGTCATTTGTTTTGTAATGTTGAGTTGTGTTATGAATTTATTGTAATGTCAGCCATTTTTAATAAAAAACATATACGATATTACAAATGTTCATATTTTTTAAAAATAAAATGACAAGTAAATAAGAACATTAAATTTTGTATCAATTAATATTTAATAGGCAAATAACTTTTCTTTTTGTATCATAAATTGGCATAAAAGAAACCACGTATTGTATCTATTTCAACCGTGTTTGGCATATAGTATTAATCAAAACACTATACATAATATTCTCATTGTTCAATTGAGTAAAATAAATAAAATAGACTATGCCAGTTGATACATCCCAAATAACCAATAACTGCTAAATTTAAGAAAGAATCATCAAGAGGCTTTTTTATAATTAATTATATATGTGCAAGGTTAACTTCTTTTTATTGACAGTTGATATGATATTTTGAAAAGCTAAATATGTATATAGTAAGATATAAAATTTATACAAATTAACTCAATCAAAATATTATAATAAGATAAAAAACTTAGGCACATAGAACTTAAAATGTACAAAATAATTTTAAAAACAAAAAAATAAATGAACTTCTAGAACTTTAAATTGAAAAAAATATATTTTATCTTAATATTTAAAATCAACAAATTTATAACAGGGGTTTGTAATTAAATGACCGTGTAAGACTATTTTACCTTGTTCTTACATTTTATTTATATTTTTTCATTGTCAAAGTTGTCTTTACCATGATGCTTTACGAACTAAATTGTTAAAGCTTCAAGAAATCTAAAAAAATAATCACGAAGAAACTAGGGTAATCACTGAGGAACATGAAATGTATTTATTTGTTCATCAAAATGAACTTGAAAAAGGTAATAATAGGTTGAAAAAGGTAATAATAGGGATGACAAAACTTACCCATCCTGTTAAAAGACAAACTCAATCGTCATTTTTTTTATTTTATTTTATTATTTTTAAATTAAATTTTTTAATAAATTTAATAATAAAATTATCATTATTCACAATTTAATATATATATATATATATATTTTAAATTAATAATATAAATTGATATATTATTTTAATAAATTATATTTTAAAATAATTAAATTAAAATAAAATTTATATAATAATAAATATATGTATATAACAGTAAAAAATATATATAATAAATATAAAAGAGAGTAAAAAAATATAAGATATATAATATTTACCTTATAAAAAAAGGATATAGAAGAACATATATAGAAGAAGGAAATAATAAATAAGAAGAGAAGAGAGATAGAAAGATTTGTGTATAAAAAATGAAAGTATTTTTCAAATTTAAGTAATTATAAAAAAAAATTAATTTTCTTAATAATAGAATTTTTAAAATTCTTTTTTCATCAATTTTTATATTATATATTATCTTTTTTACTCGTTTTTGTCATCCTAGATAGTCAGGCCATTGGTTAAGAGAAAATATAGAGATGAAGTTCCCAGAGACAAAGGGTATTTTTTTCATTTGATTTCCAATGTTTACAAAACCTAAAAACAAAAAAGTTAACTTCAACCAATGACAATAGTTCAGCACAGTATCAAGATTGATCTCACTTTTCAAAAAACATTACTTGGTATTCTATAGTTCATAAATAAAATATAAAGATTGAGTCAAACATGATTTCTTGTAATGGAAAAGAAATATGCAATTTTCTCGTACATCAAATTTGGGGCAGATTCGTCTATGCAACGACAACAACTATAGCAGGTTGCAATAGCGGACGGACAACAATCACGGATCCGAGAAATTCTTATGCAACAGCACCGCTAAGGGGGATATTAAACAACACTGATTTTACATTATACAGATAAAGAAGGTTGGTAGAGTTGAGTGGTTATGATTCAGTAAAGAAGAATTCATGAGCTTCACGATATCGTTCCAAGACAACATTAAATAGGGGATGGATAGGTTCTAATAGATTAGAGTAGGGGCCCAATACTAGCTTAGGAAGAGGTGGAGAATCTGGGCGCTTCGACCAGCTATATTGGCACAATGAGAGCCCGCTTAAACAGTAACATGTGTGATAGTGATCTCTACGTTTACCTGGTTTGTCTCTCAGTCCACCTTCTTGCTCCTACATCAACCAAAATGGTAATGCAAATTTCAAAGAAATGAAGCTAGTAATGGAAGTTCATAGGTAGAAGTGGTTTAATCGAGAAAAATAATCAATTACCAAAAGATTTTACTTCGTTTTCAAATATACAAAAATGAAGTCAACTGATTCAACACCTTTGTTTTGGCAGATTCAACTAAGATTTTGATTATGTTAAAGGTCACACGGATACTTAAAATCTCTGACTGTCATCCGTCTGTAAGTTTACAGAACAGATGTATGATGAATCAAAATTTAAAATGTTCGATTAATGGACAGGATGCAAACATATAAAACTGATTTTTCATTTCAAGTTTTCAAGGAATCAACAGATTGGTTATATTTAAGAGAGAAATTAGAAATATGGGGGATTAAAAGTAGATAAATTGCAGACCTGAGCACACAAGAGAATATACTGCTGTAAAGCAATACTGTGAAAAAGTGGCTCTTGTGCTCTCCACTCATTAATAAATTTATAACCTATGTTTTTAATATCCGTTGAACCAGATTCAATAGTGCCTGCGAGAATTAGAATTTAGAGAAGTATTAATATCATGAGAAACGAAATTAGAAAGAATATAGATATTAAAGTCAACATACAGTCATGCCTACCGTGGGAAGTTGCATGACTAGAGGTTCCATCCAAACTTTCTTTACCTTCGGATACATCCGATATCGTAAAAATCTGTGAGGTCTCTTGCATTTGTTTGTCGATACTAGAATATAATCTTTGCAATAGTGCAACAGCACCTCCCTGATTACATTCAAGTTTCAATCCAACTATATCACAAAGATTGATGGAGAAAATTGTAAAATTTCAATCACCTGCCAAAAGGAATAGCATCCATCCACCAATTTATTTGTTCTTCCCTGGAATCCACATTCCTTACCTTGCCGGAATACCACCCAGTCCTAATGTAAAGCCTTATATGATTAAATCATTCATATAACATTTACTGTGGGCAACTATAAAAGTTCATATGAAAGGGAAAGGAA